ATAGCCACTGTAGATTATTCCAGTAGTTCCATGAAACCACGCCTTGGTGGAATTTGAGGTATGCTTGGGATCATTGTCTTGTTGGAAGGTCCAATGACTCCCAAGCTTGAGCTTCCTCACAGACGGCATGACGTTTTCTCCTAGGATTTCCTGATACTTCAATGAATCCATCTTACCTTCCCCACACAGCAGGTTTCCAGTGCCAGAGGATGCAAAGTAGCTCCAGAGCATTACGGAGCCACCACCATGCTTAACTGTAGGCAGAGTGCTTCTTTCTTCTCCCTCCAGACATATTACTAATCCCTTCACTGAAAAGTTCCAGTTTTGTTTCATTGCTTCACAGAACAGAATCCCAAACCTTCTGTGGTGTATTTATTTGATTTTGAGCATATTGTAGCTGACTTTTGGGTCATTAGTGGTGTACGTCTTTTGCAGTCACTCAAAGGTTTTTTTACAACCTACCTTCTCAGACATCTGGTTTCAGCCATTGACATCTTCATTTTACTATGAAGTAATCATGGTGCCTACACGGTTACTTTAAGTAAAGTTATTATAGATAAAAAAAACTAGCAGGCCTGGACTTCATTTGTATAGGGCAACCTATGCTGTCTACACTCAGTAAACCTTCCTTTACAAAGGACCATGAGAGAGTCCACAGATGGACATTTGTATCTCATAGGCTATGTCCCAACCATGTTTGCCTACTAGTGAACACATCTTCAGGTACAGTCCCACAATCCATGATACCAATGTCTATACTGCAACCAAAAGGTTATTCAGTAAACCAAGAAATGTCATGAATTCAAAATTAATTTTAAAATTTAAGGCCCATGTAGCCAAAATGGAAGCATAGCCAACTTGGATAATGTGTCCACTACTTGGCTACTTGGGCCTTACATTTTAATTTCCCTTTGAATTCCCAGCACTTCTCACTTTAGTAAATAACCCTATAAGTCTTAGTAGAGGACTATAATGGCATAAGATCAAATTATTATTTGATTTGGTCTCTTTTTAGAAGGCGTACAAAATTAGAAAGTAGTGATATACCGAACGGTTCGCTGGCGAATAGTTCCTGGCGAACATAGCGTGTTCGCGTTCGCCACAGCGGGCGAACATATGCGCGGTTCCATCCGCCCCCTATTCGTCATCATTGAGTAAACTTTTACCCTGTACCTCACAGTCAGCAGACACATTCCAGCCAATTAGCAGCACACCCTCCCTAGCAGACCCTCCCACCTACTGGACAGCATCCATTTTAGATTCATTCTCAAGCTGCATGCTTAGTGAGAGGAGGGAAAGTGTAGCTGCTGTTGATTTGATAGGGAAATGGATAGCTAGGTTAGTGTATACAGAGTCCACTACAGTCCTGAAGGACTCATCTGATCTCTGCTGTAAGGACAGCACCCCAAAAAGCCCTTTTTAGGGATAGAACATCAGTCTGCTTTTTTTTTTCTTCTGTGTAATGTAATTGCAGTTGCCTGCCTGCCAGCTTCTGTGTCAGGCTCACAGTGGATACTGTGCCCACTTGCCCAGTGCCACCACTCACTCACTGGTGTCACAATAGTTTGCATTTAAATTTTTTTTTTTTTTTCACTATAATAGATTGAATAGCAGTTAGTTGTCTGCCAGCTTCTGTGTCAGGCTCACAGTGGATACTGTGCCCACTTGCCCAGTGCCACCACTCACTCACTGGTGTCACAATAGCTTGCATTTAAAAAAATGTTTTTTTCACTATAATAGATTGAATAGCAGTTAGTTGTCTGCCAGCTTCTGTGTCAGGCTCACAGTGGATACTGTGCCCACTTGCCCAGTGCCACCACTCACTCACTGGTGTCACAATAGCTTGCATTTAAAAAAAATAGTTTTCACTGTAATAGATTGAATAGCAGTTAGTTGTCTGCAAGCGTCTGTGTGTCAGGCTCGCAGCGTATACTGTGCCCATTTGCCCAGTGCCACCACTCACTCACTGGTGTCACAATAGCGTGCATTTAAAAACCCAAACACTTTTTTCACTGTTATAGATTGAATAGCAGTTAGTTGTCTGCAAGCGTCTGTGTGTCAGGCTCGCAGCGTATACTGTGCCCATTTGCCCAGTGCCACCACTCACTCACTGGTGTCACAATAGCATGCATTTAAAAACCCAAAAACTTTTTTCACTGTTATAGATTGAATAGCAGTTAGTTGTCTTCAAGCGGGTGTGTCAGGCCTACAACGTGTACTCTGCCAACCTTTGCTAGTTCACAGTGCCACTCATATCTGGTGTCACAATAGCTTGCATTTAAAAACAAAAAACTTTTTTCACTGTTATAGATTGAATAGCAGTTAGTTGTCTCAAAGCGGGTTTGTCAGCCCTACAGCGTGTACTCTGCCAACCTCTGCCAGTTCACAGTGCCACTCATATCTAGTGTCACAATAGCTTGCATTTAAAAACAAAAAACTTTTTTCACTGTTATAGATTGAATAGCAGTCAGTGTCCTTAAAGCGGGTGTGTCAGGCTCACAGTGGATACTGTGCCCAGTGCCACCACTCACTCACTGGTGTCACAATAGCTTGTCATAGCTTGCATTTAAAAACAAAAAACTTTTTTCACTGTTATAGATTGAATAGCAGTTAGTTGTCTCAAAGCTGGTGTGTCAGCCCTACAGCGTGTACTCTGCCAGTTCACAGTGCCACTCATATCTGGTGTCACAGTAGCTTGCACGCATAGTACCACTAATTGAGAAAAAAATGACAGGCAGAGGCAGGCCACCCCGCAGGGGCCGTCGTGGTCATGGTGCTGTGATTCCCTTTTGCCCTAGAATAATGCCCAGTTTTCAGAGGCCAGGTACCCTGAACTTGAAAAGTTCTGAGGACATAGTTGACTGGCTAACACAGGACACCCAATCTTCTACAGCTTCCGCTCGGAACCTTGACGCACCATCCTCGTCCAACTTAGCTTCGGGCACCTCTCAAGTTACCACTCGCCCGCCTGCCGCCAACACTAGCACCACAGCAGCTTCACTTGGTATGTTAGAGGAGTTATTTACACATCAGTTGGAAGAAATGAGTGATGCGCAACCATTATTGCCAGAGGATGTAGGTAACAGGGATATGTCTCAGTCAGGCAGCATTACATACATGGACGTACGGTGTGATGATGATGATGTTGTACCCGCTGCTGCTTCCTTTGCTGAGTTGTCAGATACAAGTGAAGCGGTTGATGATGACGATGCGTCCATGGATGTCACGTGGGTGCCCGCTCGTCAAGAAGAAGAACAGGGTGAAAGTTCAGATGGGGAGACAGGGAGGAGGAGGAGACGAGTTGGAAGCAGGGGGAGGTCGTCGCAAGGAGCTAATGGCACAGTCAGACAGCATGCATCGACACCCGGGGTCAGCCCGACAGCACGCCAATCAACGCATGCTGTGTCCACCACCAGAATGCCGCCATTGCAGAGCTCAGCAGTGTGGAATTTTTTTTGTGTGTCTGCCTCTGACAACAGCGATGCCATTTGCAACCTGTGCCAAAAGAAACTGAGTCGTGGGAAGTCCAACACCCACCTAGGTACAACTGCTTTGCGTAGGCACATGATCGCACATCACAAAAGCCTATGGGATCAACACATGAGTACAAGCAGCACACAAACTCAAAGCCGCCATCCTCCTCCTGGTCCAGCATCTTCAGCCACGTCAACCACTGCTGTCCTCCTTGCCCCCTCTCAACCATCCGCCACTTCGTCTCTCACCTTGAGAAGTTCCTGCTCATCTGCCCACAGTCAGGTGTCTGTCAAGGACATGTTTGAGAGTAAGAAGCCAATGTCAGAAAGTCACCCCCTTGCCCGGCGTCTGACAGCTGGCTTGTCTGTACTATTAGCCCGACAGCTTTTACCATACAAGCTGGTGGAGTCTGAGGCATTCAAAACATTTGTAGCTATTGGAACACCGCAGTGGAAGGTACCCGGACGAAATTTCTTTTCACAAAAGGCAATCCCCAACCTGTACTCGATTGTGCAAAAGGAAGTAATGGCATGTCTGGCACACAGTGTTGGGGCAAGGGTCCATCTGACCACTGATACCTGGTCTGCAAAGCATGGTCAGGGCAGGTATATCACCTACACTGCGCATTGGGCAAACCTGCTGACGGCTGCCAAGCATGGAATGTGTGGCTCTGCAGAGGAGTTGGTGACACCGCCACGACTTGCAGGCAGGCCTGCTGCCACCTCCTCTACTCCTCCTACTCCATCCTCTTCCATAACCTCCTCGGCTGAGTCCTCTTCTGCTGCTGCGTCTTGCTCCACATCAACGGCACCCCCCCAGCTCCCCAGGTACTATTCCACATCCCGGATACGGCAGTGTCACGCCGTCTTGGGTTTGACTTGCTTGAAAGCAGAGAGTCACACCGCACAAGCACTCCTGTCCGCCCTGAACGCACAGGTGGAAAAGTGGCTGACTGCGCAGCAACTGGAGATCGGCAAAGTGGTTTGTGACAACGGAACAAATTTGTTGGCGGCATTGAAGTTGGGCAAGTTGACACATGTGCCGTGCATGGCACATGTGTGTAATCTGATCGTACAACGCTTTGTGCATAAGTACACAGGCTTACAGGACGTCCTGAAGCAGGCCAGGAAGGTGTGTGGCCATTTCAGGCGTTCCTACACGGCCATGGCTCACTTTGCCGATATCCAGCGGCGAAACAACATGCCAGTGAGGCGCTTGATTTGCGACAGCCCGACACGTTGGAATTCAACACTCCTAATGTTCGACCGCCTGCTCCAACAAGAAAAAGCCGTTAATGAATATTTGTATGACCGGGGTGCTAGGACAGCCTCTGGGGAGCTGGGAATTTTTTTGCCACGTTACTGGACGCTCATGCGCAATGCCTGTAGGCTCATGCGTCCTTTTGAGGAGGTGACAAACCTAGTCAGTCGCACCGAAGGCACCATCAACGACATCATACCATTTGTTTTCTTCCTGGAGCGTGCCCTGCGAAGAGTGCTGGATCAGGCCATAGATGAGCGTGAAGAGGAAGAGTTGTGGTCACCATCACCACCAGAACCAGCCTTATCAGCATCGCTTGCTGGACCTGCGGCAACGCTGGAAGAGGATTGTGAGGAAGAGGAGTCAGAGGAGGAATGTGGCTTTGAGGAGGAGGAGGAAGACCAACCACAACAGGCATCCCAGGGTGCTCGTTGTCACCTATCTGGTACCCGTGGTGTTGTACGTGGCTGGGGGGAAGAACATACCTTCATTGAGATCACTGAGGAGGAGGAACGGGAAATGAGTAGCTCAGCATCCAACCTTGTGCAAATGGGGTCTTTCATGCTGTCGTGCCTGTTGAGGGACCCTCGTATAAAAAGGCTGAAGGAGAACGACCTGTACTGGGTGTCCACGCTACTAGACCCCCGGTATAAGCAGAAAGTGGCTGAAATGTTACCAAATTACAACAAGTCGGATAGGATGCAGCATTTGCAAAATAAATTAAAAAGTATGCTTTACACAGCGTATAAGAGTGATATCACAGCACAACGGGAATCTAACAGGGGAAGAGGTGAAAGTAATCCTCCTCCTCCCACGACCACACCGGCAAGGACAGGACGCTTTACAGACGTGTTGTTGATGGAGGACATGCGGAGCTTTTTAAGTCCTACGTATCGCCACAGCCCTTCGGGATCCACCCTCAGAGAACGACTCGACCGACAAGTTGCAGACTACCTCGCCTTAACTGCAGATATCGACGCTCTCAGGAGCGATGAACCCCTTCACTACTGGGTGTGCAGGCTTGACCTGTGGCCTGAGCTATCCCAATTTGCGATAGAACTTCTGGCCTGCCCCGCTTCAAGTGTCCTGTCAGAAAGTACCTTCAGTGCAGCAGGAGGTATTATCACTGAGAAGAGAAGTCACCTAGGTCAAAAAAGTCTAGATTACCTCACCTTTATTAAGATGAATAAGGATGGATCCCGACGGGACTGACAGTGGGCGATACATTCGAATAAAAAAGGCCTGATGAGATGAGCTGCCTTGGGCTAAAAATGGTCCACACGCTGCTGTATTTTAGCTCTGAATGCCAGTTGACTTGTGTGACTTATCCGCCACCAACTAGGGTTCAAGCCGCAATGTTTTAGGGCAGTGCTCCCCAACCTTTTTATCGCCGCGGACCGGTAAACGTTTGATAATTTTTCCGTGGCCCGCATGTTTTGATTTAATAATTTTAATTTAATTTTATTTAAACATGCCTTCTAAATAAAATACAGCTACACCAAAAAATGAATATAAAGTGATTTATTTTATTTAACTCACTAGAATGCCAAATCAATGAGAACCCTGAGCTTGTTTCTTCGCAACGAGACGGTTCCATCTGGGGGTAATAGGAGACAATGACACCCGAAGTGTGTTGCTTATGTCCAGTTTATTCCGCTGTTTTGTTTTGCTTGGTGTCACTGCAGAAAACCCCGCTTCACACAGATAGGTTGTCGGAAATGGCAATAGGGATTTAAGTGCTGTGGTGGCAATCTCAGGGTATTCCGCCATGACTTTAATCCAGAACACCGGCAGAGTTGTTGTCTCGAACATAGTTTTAAGGCCACCTTCATTTGCAATCTCCAGCAGTTCTTCTTCTTCTTGCATATACATGCTAGATTCGCCTGATTTGTTGGCAAATGGGTCGCGGATCCATTCCTTACCAGTTCGTGGGTCTTTTGTGGTTGGGAAGTAGCGCTCAAACTCTTTTAAAAGCAAAGACAGGTGATCGTGCACCAACTGGCAGAATGAATGTTCAAGCTCAGTCTCGCCGAAAATCCCTGCTAATGTCTGAAACATGTCCAAAATGCCTTTGTTCACGCGCCGTCCCCATAACTCCAGTTTGGCTTTAAATGCAGCTACTTTGTCTGACAACTTGAAAACAGTTGTCATTTTCCCCTGAAGGCCCAGTAGGTCCCCCCTTATCCTTATTTACTGAATATTCCCCTGTATAACAATGTTTGGCATTTAGTGAATATTCCCTATTCTGCTCTGTGTCAGTGTGTATCAGGGATCCTTAGGATAGGTGTCAATCCATATCTGCCAAGTCACCCTATGTAGGGGGAACAGTCCCTATTCTGCTCTGTGTCAGTGTGTATCAGGGATCCTGAGGATAGGTGTCAATCCATATCTGCCAAGTGACCCTATGTAGGGGGAACAGTCCCTATTCTGCTCTGTGTCAGTGTTTATCAGGGATCCTTAGGATAGGTGTCAATCCATATCTGCCAAGTCACCCTATGTAGGGGGAACAGTCCCTATTCTGCTCTGTGTCATTGTGTATCAGGGATCCTTAGGATAGGTGTCAATCCATATCTGCCAAGTGACCCTATGTAGGGGGAACAGTCCCTATTCTGCTCTGTGTCAGTGTTTATCAGGGATCCTTAGGAATTATAAAGAAAGATTAAAAAAAAGTACATCTGTTTATTCCTAATTATATTCCCCTGATTAACTATTATGCATGCTTCATCTTCTTTTATTCGATAATGCTTACTTCACTTTGTTTTCTTGTATACCCTTAATGAAATATATATATATATATATATATATATATATATATATATATATATAGTAAATTATCTGCTTAACGGAAGTTGCAAACAAAGTCTGTATAGATTTGGGCGATAATATTAAATAAAGTTTGGAAATGTTTAATATTGATACATATTAATGTAACCACTTCATTAGAGATGAAATGCTATAACTGTATCTAATTGTCCTGAAGGGGTTGAAAAAGATCCCCCAACAAGGAATATTTATCCTACATTTTTCAAATGTCTTTGTTTAGGAAGAAAATAATGGGTTTTAGTTTCAACACAACTAGTTTGTTCTTTGATCAACATTTGATTTAAAACACTGCACATAACTTTGGTAAAAGCATGGAAAATAAATATATAAAATAAAAAGGAACACAAAAGCAGCAGATGTAATTTGAGGTTCTCATTAAAGAAAAGTATGATAAGAAATAATGACACAGAAATAGCCATTATTAGGCCACATGATTTTATTCAGTAGTGTTTATGCTCCCAAATTACATTATAGGTCTATTGATGTAAGACTACAAAATTACCATTAGATTTTTTTTTTCTGTGCTTATAAAATACCAACATCTTTGTTTACGATCATACACTTCGTAACATAGATCATACACTTCGTAACATAGTCTGTAACAATTTACATGGAATCATAGGCACTTCAAAGGCTTAAAAAGACTTTTACAACTTAAATGCATGTTGAAAAAAAAAATGACAAAATTGCTCTTGAAACTCCTATTCGTACCTTTAAAATGTAACGGAGTTAAATACAGTGGCCTGGCAACTTTGTCAGAATACTGCTATATAGTCTTTGGATTTTGGCTCCATGCATGTAGTACTCTACCCAAAAAAATCGACAGGCAACCTGTCACCCTTCAGCTCTAGTTGGGCCGCAATTAGCCTGAAACTGGAGTTGCTAAGGCTTGAAGATTTGCAACTTACCCAACCTGCAGTAGAACATCTGCAGTAACATTTGCAGCCATCAGCATCTGCTTGCCATTATGCGCAGTACTGTACTGACCCTCTGCAGTAGCTATGGTGGTAAAGGTGCATCCGCTCCTACGACTAAATGAATGTCATAGGCAATTGGTTTATACATTTACAATAAAACCAAACAAGTTAGAGCCTAAATCAGAAAACACACGAACCCTGATTCCTTAAGATTCTGTGATATTTTTTACCCTGTCAACTCTATTAAATGGAATCTATCTACATACAAATAATTTGAAGATTGTGTACCTTAAAAAAAAGTCTTCGGCAAAACAGAATAAATTTAAATTCTACATTTTGCATTAAGTGGAATTTGTTTTTGTTTTTTATTATTATTATTTTTAATGTCAACAGATCAATCGGGTTTAGGCATTTTGGATTTACTGATTAACAATTTGGTAAGATCCTGATTTAATGTTCTAGATTTAGATGCCCAGAAAATTACCTGTTTGGGAAGGATTTCCAAACCTGTAATACAGAGCAGAATGATTCAAAAACACTGCAAAAACAAATAATGTTGGACTACACGGGTTCAAAAAGTCAAACAAGATAGATTCCATTTAACCTGGTCTTGCGTTTAATAACAGAACAAAAATAAAATAAAAATTAAAGCGTACATAAGGAGTTCAGAAATTTCAGTGATCTGATCAAATCCTTCACTATCTGAAGTTCTAATTTCTTTCTGTAATCTATCTTTGCAAGTAAAACTGGGGCCTTCCATATACTAGTGTCCAACGATGTGGACAAGGTAGATGACTTACAGAGAAGGAGAGAAAAGAAAAATATATCTTTCACAAGAAAAACAAAAAAAACACAGCAGTGTACCAAACTGATGGTCTTTCTTACAGTAAGAGAGAATGCACCTTTAGAGAAATAGTAGCTTACTCTAACGTTTGTAGACATTTTCCAAGGTTTAAACAATTGCCATGTTAAAACCTATCAGAAAATACATTAAAATACAAAACAAAAACAAAAAAAACAGAAAAAAAAATATACGGAAGGAAAAAAAGGAAAAAAAAAACACACAACAGAGCAATGTAAAATGGATATCATGACACATATTTATACATATTTTGGAAGTAAAAGTTTACATAGAAAAAAAAATACATTTACACTAATATATTGTATATCTGAATTACCCTATGACAATTGCACCATGACAACTACAAAAGGCATTTGTTTGGAAAATGATAAATTAATGAAATAAAAACTAAAATTTTGAAAGATCTGAGACATGCTAAAAATATTAAACAACCTATCATAGACCCGAAGCTTGAAACAATCATTTCCATTTTTAAAAATTTGTGTTTATGCATCAAAGGTTTTCCGACGTTTTAATGAATATCAATGGTCTTATAAAATAATACTCTGCCACTGTTATTCACTTAACAATGCAAATGTTAAGATCTGATTTTACTTCAATTTTTGTTTTTGTATTTTTTTTCTTAAGGAATACATGAAAAGTTTTTAAATACAATGGGATTTTTTTTTTTTTTTTTAAATCATAAAATTGCCGTGAAGGCTTTTCAATGAGAAAAAAAAAAAATCTTCATTAATCTATGCAAAAGCTTTGTTTAAAAGAAAGTTCAGTGATCTCATAAAAAGAGACACTAAAATTAGGAGTTTTATGCATAAAACTCTTTAGTAGGTGCCTTTTGGTAGACTGCACTTGAAGGCTTTCGTTCTCCGAGGTCATAGCTGCCTTCATCCTTCTTTCTCATGCGATAGACTAACAGGAGAATTAGGAAAACGGCAAACAGGAATCCAATGCCACCACCAGCAATAACCGCTGTATAAACAATAGAACACAAAGGTTATTTGTTAGTCAAAGTTACAAATACACTACAAAATCTGTGAATTGGCCTTTGATGTTAAGGGATTGGTTTAGGATATCTAAGTTACACAATTAAGGTCATTTGTGCAGATACTTCTTACAGATAGATGGAGCTATAGAGCTAAATGTAATCAGTGTTATGATTACTTCCCTTCTATCTGGGGATTCTCAATGACCAGAGCCGGGTAACCAGTTGGGCAACCACGGCCTGTTGGGCCCCTGTCAGGGCCTAGAGGTCCGGCTCCGAGTGAGCCCTTGTCAAGCCAGCAGGGAGATCAAAAGATCTCCCTGCAAGGCCATCAGCTTCCTCACTTCACAGAGAGAGAGCACTGTGGTTTGTACCAATGTACAGACCACTTATAGGACACCCTCACAGTGCCCAGGCACTTTTTGGTTACTCAGAGTGCCGGAACCAAGATCTGAACTGATATTGCTGTAAATCGCAAAGCACACCTACTGGTCCACCAGAGATCTAGCTCACATGCCACTGGACTTCCAGGAACGGTACACAGGGTGGACAGGGGGGGGGGAGGGGGAGAGTGCATACACAACCATACACATCTCATATTCCACTATGCACAATTCAGCCATCACACATACAATTTTAAACCAGGACACACAGGCACACTCAACCTTCCTCCACATGCATCACTCACAGAAACAGAGATCAGGTTTGTAGGAGGGTCAATGACAACAGCCTTGACTAAGGCAGACCATGAAATAAATAGGCCAAAATTGCATGGTTGAGGGGAGATTTAAAACGTCTAATTTTAAAGAAAATATTACTTATCCTTAAATCAACTGGTCACAACTCTTCAGGAAATAAATCGAAATAAATGAATGTAGTGAAACTTCAACAGCAACCACATATTCATAAATCAAAACATAAATATTTTCTAAGCTCTCCGGCAGATAACTGAACAAACAATTGTATAGAAATATAGGCCTGTGTAAAATAAGGCTGAATAAACCCGACATAACTGTGTATTATGGTTGATTAAAGCAACATTACTCCACACTCTGTCTATAAATCTATCCTCCAATATTATGGCAATATCATAGCTTGAGGGATAAATCAATTAACCAAACATTGCAAATACGTGTCATAGATGGAGAGATGTACAAAATATCCAAACTTTATTATTTTCCAGTTTAAAAAGCCATACGATGATTATTTAAAAAAAAAAAAAAAAATACTCCAGCTTATGTGTAAGTTTAAATTTGAGAAATAAGAAGTTTGGAGAACTTGTACATCACTAAAGGTATGAAGTGTTTTTTTCCCCCCAGTGCTTTACCCATGAAGAAGATTTATCACAGAAGCCATAAAGCAATTTACAGACAGAGTTTGCAATAACAGTGTTTTAGTCCATCTTTATCTAGCCAAGTTTTATACGGATCTATATTTTTGTACGGATAAATGTAGGTAATAAATAAATGTGTTTTTAAAAAATATAATGTATTAAAATACCCAAGAGATAGTAAAAACATAGTACTTTAAGAATTACGATATTATTTAGTAAATATTTAATAATAATTATTATGATCAAAGGGTGGGGAGCAAAATCAAATCAAACTACACTGATGGCAAAATTTAGATATAAATATGCAGCTAATTCACCTGCAAGTACTTCTGTTCTGTGGAAAAGGTTTTCTGTGTGTTTTTCTGTGCGCACATCAATTTCAGATTTAACTTGTGTCAGTTCAGTGTCTACTTTCTGCTTCACTGATCCTTCAGGTTCCTGCAAAAAAAAAATACGAATGAAAATGTATAAATATTCCCTCCTACCTATCCCACCTTCACAGTTTTTTTTTTCCTGTCCAATCCCGCTACGACAGACTTGATTTTTTTTCTGGGCATAACTTGTGCATTTTTTTTTACATTTCTTTTTCTTTTTTTAATGTATATCTCATTCGTCCCATTATCTGGTTGATCCTACTAAATTTTCTCTTTGTAGACATTCTCCTGCAGCATATGTTTTTTAAAATATTTTTCTTTTCCATCTTTTCTTTGATTTCTTTTACTCCTTTGCATTAGTTTTACTATTAAATAGTATTTACTATTTCTCTGCTGGTCCTGGGGTTTCTGTGGAGATTTGTGGCACTTACGCCGCGCTTTTTGTCTACTCTGAGTGTCCCTGGGCTGCATGGCCTGCATGTTGCTGGCGTTCACGTTGAGCAACCGCGCAGATGTAGACCAGACAAGAGCATCATGACTTTTTCCCGATGCATGCATGTGCAGTTGCGTTTTCTCCTACGTGACATACTAGCTGGCACCATCAATGATTGCTGTCAAAAGAGTAAAGGGCAGGCTGAGGTCTAGTGAATTGGGAGGTACAATGGAACAGATGCAGCATTTAAGGGACACTGTAGTCACCAAAACAACTTTAGCTTAATTGAACAGTTTCGGTGTATAGAGTATGCCTCTGAAGTGTCACGTCTCAATTCACTGCCATTTAGGAGTTAAATAACTTTTGTTTCTGTTGATGCAGCCATGGCAACAGCTCCCCTTGCCACACACCCATAGCCACACAGCCAACATGAAAAAATATGGTTTAATTTTGAATCACATGTTCACCTACTTTTCAAGCACCAAAATTACTTTTTTTTTCCTTTTAGGTGTTATTTTAAGCTTCTTTTTTTGGGAACATTTTGGTAAGGGTTTTTGCTGAGTAACTTTTAAAGCCTGGCTAGTGGGGTAAAACATGAAAATGTAAGCTCGGATTATTTATAAAAATATATGCTCAATGTTTCATTCCCGGGTGCTCCAAAATAGGCAACAGATATTCCATTACAACAAAGTATTATGGGAACTGATGGGTCATGTTTTGAAAAGGAAAAAAATAAATGTTTATTCTATATTAACACAAACAGACATGCGAATGTTTCGGACCTTACCCGGTCCTTTCTTAAGACTTTGAGAAAGGACTTAGAAGTTTCACTTGAGAAAGAACTTGTATTAATGCATTATATACATACCTCTGTTTCTTCTGGTAATTTTGTTTGTATTTTTGGTGTAGTAAGCTCATCTTCTGGAGCATCACTAGTTGGTGGACTTTCTGGCACCGGTTGAGGTGTTGACACCACAATATCGTCCACGTCATCTGTTTCTACATCACCTGTTGAGCACAAAAATTGGTCAATATTTTTCTTTTATGAAGTCAAATAATGGATAAAAAGTAAAACATTCCTTTTCAATTCCAATGTAGAGTTGTGGACTGTGCCACACATTTCCATGATGTTGTTTGGTGGGGAAGGAGGAGTACTGTACAGCAAATCATTAGCCTCACCAAGAATAGCAGTATACACATATACGCAAATGCATTTCTTCAAAAATATACACACACACACAGTATTACTTCCTATGTGGCAGAGTACCTTGAGTGCCAGAGATATTTTATTCCCTGACACTGCAACTGCTGTTTAATGCAACTCTTAACAAACAGGAATATGAAGAGTGACAGAGACAGGAAGATATGTACAGGCTCCACGTGTAGGTTTGGTAGTCTAATAGAAACAGATACCTATACTCAGGTGTCAGCTGGCACCATCAATGATTGCTGTCAAAAGAGCAAAGGGCAGGCTAAGGGCTAATGAACTGGGAGGTGCAATGGAACAGATGCAGCATTTAAGGGACACTGTAGTCACCAAAACAACTTTAGCTTAATTAAACAGTTTCTATGTATAGATTATGCCTCTGAAGTGTCACTTCTCAATTCACTGCCACTTAGGAGTTAAATAACTTTTGTTTCTGTTGATGCAGCCATAGCAACAGCTCATCTTTCCACACACCCATAGCCACTCAGCCAACATGAAAAAATATAATTTCATTTTGAATCACGTTTACCTACTTTCAAAGTTTTTATCTCCTGCTCTGTAAATTGAACTTTAATTACACACAGGAAGCTCCTGCAGGGTCTAGCAAGCTATTATCAGAGCATGAGAAAATAAATTCTAATTCTATTCTATATTTCTATATTAAACAGAATTTACAATAAAGGAAGTTTAAACATTAGATGACTCTTTACAGGAAGTGTTTAGGAAGGCTGTGCAAATCACATGCAAGGAGGTGTGCCTAGAACTGTATAAACCATGTGATTTAACTCCAAAGTATTAAGCAGTGAGAGTGCAGGAGCATGATCTATACACAAATACTGCTTCATGAAGCTGAAGTTGTTTTGGTGACTATAGTGTCCCTTTAAGTTATCTGGTCCCAGCTATTAGTCCAGGTTCAGCTAGAGTTGTGATGTGGACACACTGGGGAGTAGACAGGTGCATGGAAAATTGCAAATTGTTTTGTTTCCATTAAATAGTATTATCTCCTTACTTCAAGCTTACACATCTGCCAGGCAAGTGATGGCCTCAACTACTTTTCTGTCCCCACTTACAGAAGAGCCTGACCTCATTCTTCAAGTCTTGTAGAATTTTCAGATGACATTGCACACACAGTTTTTCTGGGAGTACTCCCACTAGGGTGCTCCAAAACAGCGAGGGCTCCAGCCCAGACAAATCCAGTGGAACAAAAAAGTAGGTTTGGGCACACCCAGTAGAGCCTTGACAAAGGCTCAGGGGAGCCGAAATTCTGTCTAAATGTTTGTACTCCACAATAAAGTCTACCTGCTGAAGAAACTACTGGGTGTGCCCAAACCTACTTTCTCATTATTCAAGTCTTGAAACTGACAGTATGCCATCAATAAATAAGCTAAAGTACAAATCCTTGCATTATAATTTTCTTTTTTAAAAATCAGATCAGATAATAAAATAAATATACCATGAACTTATTTTAACACAATAATATTTTAAGTCCAAGAGTTTATCTATCAAGAAAGAAAGAAAGAAAAGAAAATTAGCTTTTTACCAGAGCCAGATCCAGAAGAGTAATCATCGTCATCAATTGGATACGCTCCCGATGACTCTTCAACTGACGTGTTATCGATGTACAGGTCTTTGTCAGATGTTGTTTTTACCCACTATAAATACAATGTTAAGACAATAAATGGTTAATGATAAAAGAAAAAAAAACTGCACAAAAAAAATGATTTTGTATAACATCGTGGATTTAAAGCTACATACTATTACTATAATAAGGATGGTATGGGTGCAAGGAGAGGAACAAGTCTGACAAGAGACTAAATATATGTCTGGCAGAGGTGTGTCATTGAAGGGACACTATAGCCAGCCAGACCACTTCATCTCAATGCCATTTTAACCCTGTAGTGTTCAACATTGCAATGGTTATATTGCAGAATTAAGTACACCTCTAGTGGCTTTCAGTATGACAGAGTAAAACAAGGTCATGTGACGCAGAAACCCCAATAGAAAAGCATTGATTCAAACCTTTGTTATGGGTATGTTTGAAGGCATGCTCGCTGCGCATATGAGTTAGGACCCCAATGCTCCTCAATGAAAATTGGATTGGACATCAGCCGAGGAGGCCACATCTCCACTGTGACATTGCGAGAGGTGAGCAGCACCAAGCGAGCTGCGGCATTGTAAAAAGGTAAGTAAAACTTTATTTTTTGAATTGCAAACAGGGAGAGGACCTATTTTTAACTAGTGACAGGTTTGTATCACTAACACTAGTGTTCCTTTTTAGCCCTTCTGTAGCTTGACAGAGAGAAACATAATTAAAAATAAATAAATAAAATGAGTTTTGATGGTGGCCCAGTAGGTATACTCTATTATTCGATTCTGGTAATCCCTTTTGGAATCACTGACAAAGTTATTTACTAGAAGAACATTAAATATTAACGCCAAAAACAACAAAAGAAAACCAACCAACTTTGTCAAATAAATGGACAACCCTCCTATAAACAAATGGTATTGTGGTTTACGTACAAGCATGAAGTTCAATTTCCTTAAAATCTACGAACACAGAACACGGATATAAACAAGTGCGGACATGTGGCAGTGAGTGTTCATTACTGAATACAGACAGAGCCATTGTGCAAAATATAATTTATTCAAAGCACTCAGAAAACTTACTAACATTGCTACACAGACACAGCCTTTGTTAAAGACTAGGTTAAGATAAATAGGATGATGCGTGTTAATACTAAAATTAGGTCGGTTGACTAAGTGAAGACTCCAGTTGAGCCCGGAGGGAAAAAAAATAATCAAATCATTTATCTATACTTTGAAATAGTGAGAGTAAAAGAGTGTTTGTACTGTATTGGATTTCATTTCCCGTTCTTAAAAACCACAAACAATTTTCATTAAGAAGAATACCTCATTCTTAAAAAATAGATATCATTTAACATTAATAGCAACCACACAAATGCATATTTAGACACCTGAAATATTGGGATAGAGGACACTGGCCATTTTTATATTTTTAAACCCAGTGTAATAAAAACATGATTTCATTTTTTTTTTTTTTCGGACGAAGTTTGAACACCTTACGAGACATCATTTCTCTCATTATACTATGTTTCTTTCTGGAGGATAAAGAGAGCTGCAATAGAATCCCTGCAGTGTGTGTTAATGGGTTTACAAAGTGGAGCTAAATCTCTGTTTCTCCTTTCAAGGTATAATATTAAATCCTAATACTGATATTCTTTTGCCAAACAAACTCATTATAATCCCTTTGTGTCCTTTCAAAGAGTTTCTCGACCACAGATTTCTAATTTAAAGGTCTGGAATACCCTGGCTCAGATTTTGATCTTTTTTTGTATATTGTCTTCCATCTTGTCCAATTTTTTATCATAATGCTAGAAAAAGTGTTTCTCTAAAGATTACAAAAAAATAAAAAAATAAAAATAAAAACTGTCTTCAGGACATAACAGTCTTGTTTAGACATTTACTTTCACACCTTTATTCAGCATGGAATATTTAATCTATATAACCCTGATTATAACAAATAATATAGCAAGACGCGAAGCACACAGACGAACATTCATTAAAAAACTGCTTTGCTATCTGGGGTAAGTTAGTACCTGTGACAATGTGGCCTGTGCTTTATATTGAGAAGAGTTCAGACACCTAAGAAGAATTGACTAGGGAGGGCCAAAACAGTCTTTCTGTATGCACAAATATACACAAACAGGATTCAAAAACATGCATTTTTACAAATGTTCTAGAGTGTACATATAACACTTTCCCTAACCTGAAATTATTAACATACAAAATTAAGCCTTGTGCTCAAACTCCCACTACTCCTGCATCAGCATCAGTCCCAAAATATATATATAAAAACAAAATGTTTTTATAGATAAATTATTATTACTATTTATAAAGCACCAACAAATCCTGCAGCGCTGTAAATGTGTAAAAACTGGAATAATAAAAGTTTTACAGTGAATTAAATTCAGATCAATAGACACTGAATTTTTTTAGACACTTTTACAAAATGTTGACGATAAGATAAAGAGGTTTCATGGAAACCCTCTGGCACTAATCCTTCTGTTGCAAAGTATCTGTTAATCATGCTGCATCTGTCTACCGTTAATCATAGGAAAACTAGTGAATCCGGGATGGCAAATAGCTGTACAAAACAAACAAATCCCAGCCTTTGTTGAGAAACCTCCTGGAGTAAATGTTGCACAACCAGTTTTAGTGAACAGCCCACGGGACTGAAATTATTGTCGTGGTCTACGGGATGTGAGCAATGATTGTCCGGAAGCACTATCACGTATTATGTTATACAATGAGTGGGAGATGAGAGCTATAAGACTTTCTCTGTGATCATTAAAGCAGATAAATATTGCATCTAATTCCAAGATCATTAAATGACAAAAATTAAAGTTTCGGTTATATATTTAGAGGGAAAACAATTAGCACATATCTGCAAAAATAACAACGATTTATGGATCACTGACAGGTTATTGGCATAAAATGTGTCTACCTCAATTAAAGCATATATTTATACATACAGCAGCCTCAAAATCAAAAGTGTTATTTTCTTCTAATTTATTCCTCAATGTTATGTCTTTTATATATTTTTATTTTATATTTTTAGGGCTAGGGCTTAACCCCTTAAGGACACATGACATGTGTGACATGTCATGATTCCCTTTTATTCCAGAAGTTTGGTCCTTAAGGGGTTAAAGGGACAATATAGTCACCAGAACAACTACAGCTTATTGAATTTGTTCTGGTGAGTAGAATCATTACCTTCAGGCTTTTTGCTGTAAACACTGTTTTTTCAGAGAAAATGCAATGTTTACATTACAGCCTAGTGATAACTTCACTGGCCACTCCTTAGATGGCTGTTAGAGATCCTTCCTGGGTCATGGCTGCCTAATACAGACACTGAACTTTCTTCATAGAGATTCATTGATTCAATTCATCTATATGAGGAGATGCTGATTGGCCAGGGCTGTGTTTGAATCATTTGGCTCTGCCACTGATCTGCCTCCTTCTCAGTCTCAGCCAATCCTATGGGGAAGCATTGTGATTGGATCAGGCCAACACTTCTGCTGATGTAAGCAGACTGCTTGTTTTTCTGAGTCAAACAGCATGCAGAGTTACAGCTTCAGGCTTGAATACAGTAAGATTTTGCTATATTTATGGAGGCATGATGGTGGTTTTAACACTATAGGGTCAGGAATACAGGTTTGTGTTCCTGACCCCATAGTGATCCTTTAATGTGTGTGTCCTGGCCTGGGAGATTTGTAAGAGATGACAATGTGTCTCTGTCGACAATGGGCTCTCTTAGCAGCAATTGCAAAACGAGTCTCAATCACAAGCATAAACAGTTTATTGGAGGCGGCTGCCATTAACCCAAACTTCCATCACCCATATGCCGAGAGAGCAGCGGTGAAGAGACACAATGTATGCCTCTTCAGCCCCTCTAACAACATATCAGTAATGGGAGAGGGGCTGAATTATGCCGCTGCCTAGGAGTGTAGCTCAATCACACAGGCTGGAACATATCACACCTCACATGTTTTTTTTTGTTTTTTTTATTTCACATTGTGACATCGCCCACTGTGTAATACAGGAAAAACATGATCTGCCCACTGAAATAACACCCAGCTAACATAACCTGTGTTTGTGCATAATATATAAATATATATACACAAACACAATATATTACATCCTGAAGTATCTTCTACAAGAGTTACAATGATCACGCAGGGCACACAATGCACCACAATATCTATAGTTGTGAGTGGTTGTATGCAGAGATCTCATCAGAATGTTTGGGGAACCTCATATAATCACTGGCTGGCTGAACAGCTGACACAGACGTTCACACACTCTTCCAGACACACACGTACATGCTCACAGACATAAACATAGGTATGCTTTCACATACACAATCTGATAGACACATCCACTTGTACACACAAGCATACACATGTTTATCCACAAAGCACTTGCTTTTAACCAATCTATTTGTCATAGAAAGGAAGCTACCCTCAGGTTTACTCTCTTCAGAAACAGAAACAGTGAGAGCAGTGTGGCATGTGTGATGGAAGGCAGTGAGGCCTGATGGGATCTGTTTAAATGTAAATATTACCAGCCTTTTTAATGATTCAAAATAGAACTGATATTTTACATACATTTACTTACACACACACACACACACACACACTCTCTCACTCTCACTCTCGTCATGTGATGGACAGGTAAAGATGTTTGAAGTAGGAATTTAGGATTGCAGTCACTCTGTGTGACATTTATTACTGGGAGTGGTGTGGGAATAAATATAATTGCCACTGCTACTTAGTCACCTATTTTCATTTTATTAGTTTCTTATTTATATATGCAGGTTATTGGTGTTAACTTCCCATGAATATTCATCAATATAAATCAAGGGAGAATGTTTTATATAATGCTAACATTAACCATTTAAAACATAATGAACAAAATTTGCACCAATTTATGTGCAGCTCTAAATGAACACTTCAGCCAAGAAAATGCGGCAGAATGAGTTATCCAACGTAGTAAGTTTATGAAGGTGGCTGTGTGGCACAGGTGCATACACTACACCCTCATATTCAATGACTGGCATTAGCGTTTGTTGCGCTGTTTCCTTACCGTGGGACTTAGGCAGGATTTATTTATGTACAGGGCTCATGGTTTTGGATAAAGTTTCAGGAGGGTTTTTCAATGTGGAGGTCAAAAGATAGATTGTGGTCTAGCAACATACCAAAGTATTTGAAAGAACAGACTCCGTGTGATTTTGTTCTGATGCATAGATGGGAATTTTGTAATTTATGTAATTTAGGTACTGTTTCAAAGACCATTGTTACAGTTTTGTCAGTGTTTAGGAAAAGTTATCTGTATAGTCTTGGAGCATTTAATCGTTGAGGCACAAGTGGAAACAACAAAGTGTTTTTGTAACCTTTTGGATCAACAGCAGAAACAGATGTTTGTGAAAAAGAGAAGCTGGATTTCAGTATTCTCTTTGACTTATATTAAAGGGACACTATAGTCACCCAGATCACTTCAGCTCAATGAAGTGGTCTGGGTGCCAGGTCCCTCAAGTTTGAACCCTTCAGATGTAAACACAGCATTTTCAGAGAAACTGCTATGTTTACATAGCAGGGTTAATCCAACCTCTAGTGGCTGTCTTCCTCACAGCCGCCAGAGGCGCATCTGCGACGCTGGATGCGAAATTCGCATCCAGCGTGCAGAACGTCCATAGGAATGCATTGAGAAATGCTTTCCTATGGACTATTTGAATGTGCGCGGTATGTGCATTCTGCTCCACTCGGGAGCTGACGTTGGCGGGGGAGCAGAGGTCACCAGTGCCGAGGGGGCCCGGCGCTGGATTAAGTAAGGGAGGGGGCACTCTTAGGGCACTATAGTGACAGGAAAACGGGTTTGTTTTCCGGACACTATAGAGATCCTTTAAAGAAGACAATAAGGCACTTGAACCTACCATGCCTGCTGACCCTTGTTGTCAGTCTCTGCATGAGAGATCTTTCATGGCACTTTGGCAGTTATTGAATGCAAGAGGTTCTATATTTATACACGTTAAAAAAATAAACAAAAACACATCAGATAGCAGTGCCAATAATCCTGTTGTAGTAGTGTATGTTGTAGCAGCAGTGCTCATGGATACAACAGTAAAAAAGGATAACAATTTGTCAAAGGGGTCATCCAATGGTGACAGCCATGTATCACACAATGTTTGTAACCTCCTCTGAAACACATTGTAATAAGTATTTATCTGGCTGGGTATGAATTAAAGTTCAATGTAATTGGAAGAGCCCAGTACAAGCATCTGATTTATGGCTTACATACCAAACAACGTCATCATGATTAACACCCAACATATTCAATTACAAAAAGGGGTAATGCTTGCCGCACAGACTATTTTTCAAACTCACGAGAAATCGATCAGACAACAGAGATAACAAGCCTAGCTTAACGTAAGAAACAAAAAAGAAAAAATGTATACTTTGGTATTCATTGGACCTGAATAGCAAAAGGCAATCCTCAACTAGTTTTGTGTCATGTAGTGTGACATCTTAGTTAGCTCTATGATATCACAAAGTACCCATCATTTATAGAGATACGCTGATCATTTACTTCATCCTTGTGAGGGTCAAAAGACTCCAACTAGCAGCCTTTAAGACAAAGTGGTGAGAGGGCTTTACCGAGAGAACACTGCTCATTATTAAATTACTGTATATACTGTAAATGATTAAGTCACTGTATATATTATCAGTATTTCCGTTCAAAATCATGGCTTACTGAACAGAAATGACACGCAGGCCAAGCTGATTTGTGTTTTGCCAATGCTGAAATAAAAGCTGTCTTAGTACAAAGTGAAGCTTGCGGAAATAAAGGTTTGTGGGCACTACACAAGAAGGGACACCTACAAGCACCCTACATTTACAAAAACTGCTGCAGTGTTTAGTCTGTCACTCAATGCCCAACATCTCAGCATGGAAATATCATCTCCTCTCCTTTCAGCATCCAAATATTTGAATGTTGCACACATGCATTTCAAGTCTACATCGAATGATGGCTGATTGCTTGTGTAAACCAAAAAAAACCAAAAAAACAAATGCACGTTTACAGAGTAGAACACTCCAAAACTCGATGAGCCAAGTTAACGGCCAATTGCTGAGCAAAAAAGAAATGCATCTGCCAGCATGGAAAATCTGTATTTACACAAAGATTGGATGCAAAGTTGCAGTTTTAGCACACAGACACTGCCTTTTAAACTACCATTTAAAAAAAAAAAAAAAAAATGCACACAAAAAAACCCACCCCTTTGCTCAGGCACATTAATGTTCCCATAATGAAGCTTCCACTTATTCAAGATCATAGTTCTAATCCAATAATGAACACCTGTTGATTGCTGCAGGCATATTTTATATAAAACCTAAAAAAAAAAAAAAAAATACTTTTTTAATTATGTTTTGCTTTGCTGCTTGAAAACTAACCAGTAAATTGACTATGTACATAGTGACAGCATTTTGACATAACGTACGAAATCTCTGTCACGGCAGGAAAAGAAAAAACAAACAAACCACAACAATTGCGTAAAGAGTAATGAAAATGTTTCTACAACACAACCATTAAAAAGAAAACACACTGTTAGAATATAGAAAAACAAAACAATTTAGTAGATATACCCTAACGAAAACATGCTTGTATATATTTCTCCATGTTTTATTTGGGGGGCAATCTAAAAAGAACTTGCAAAAGCTACAGAACTTATCTGCAGCCTTTACGAAACTTCCCTTTTTCCCATAGGCACAGATGTTGGGGAATACACCAATCAGCGGCTTCTCGTTGACAAGTCTCTGTACTAGAGTCATGAGTGAGACAGGCACGCACAAGATTACAGTTTTCCTATTCTTCTCAAAGGACTTTAATCCGGTTTAGTGAGAAGAGGGAAAGGCAGACGCCCTCTAGCTTAGCGCACCTCCTTCTTTCATCAGCTCTGTGGAGCTAATGGATGTTGAAGACAACTTCTATGGCTGTCAGTTTCTGCTACCAATTATAAAAAGTGGCAATTTCTTTGTGTGCAGTGTTCCTTTAACCAAGATCAGTTACACAAATTAAGCTCTGTCCATGTTAGTACCCCTTTAAAGTCACCTCAACAAACCACATAACATGTTATTAGACGAAATCTGGCTCATAGCAATTACTTTGCAAAAATAAATAAATACATAAATATACCTGTATTTCTTTGTAAAACATTAACAGACTCTTAAAACTCCATTTATCATCAAAAGAATTAAATTATCTGTATACTTTTTGCACCACGTATTTAAGGACCTATTTAATATTATTGCATTGTGCAAAATGAAGAAAGTCTCAATACCCGGTTGTTAAACATAATAAATAAAATAAACACACAGACTAATCTTTTTATCATCCAAAAACAACAATGATGCAACAGTTCTGAAGGCAGTGTGCTCGTCTGCACTTTTCAAAAGGCTTTAACTTGACTACACTTTGTATTTCCCTCCCTATGCTATAGGCAATGGGCAAAATGATTAAAGTCGCTAGAAAGCCTTTCAGCCCTGCATGACAACAACTGCTCACCTACTAGCCTTTCCTTTGCCTTGCCATCCTGTTTCTCTTGTGATTACTACAATTCCTCCAGTGGTCAAATTTCAGGGCAGCCCCATGGAAACTCATTTGAAGCTGCAGTAACCCGAACAGAAGAATGTTCTTAATGCAGATTGTCCCTTTTAAAAACTTGCAAAGGCAATTGTAATCAATCGTGGTGGGTAGCTTGTAAAGGTGGTCCGCTCACAGAGCAGTGTATTGATTAATTTCTACTTTTATATATTGAGGAATATAACCTCTGCAGCAAGAGATTGAAATAAGGTCGCCTGATTTTTAAGACAGGTGAGATATGTGATCTTTATTTTATTTCTCTAAACTGAAAAAAAAAAAAGCTGGCCCAGTTTTTATTGTTGCAGCAATTTGACACGTAAGACCACTGTTGTGAAACTGTTCTGTTTAATGATCCCACTGGCTTTTCATTTAAAAAATTAGTCCAGTTTTCAAGTTAATGGTAATTAAGTGTAGGGATTTTTTTTTTTTTTAAATCACATTTAAAACCATTTCTTTCCAGGTTTGCCTGACCCTGCCAAGTAACTTCGCAGATAGTGGGGGTCACGAGTTAAAAGGAAGAGAACCCGAGGTTCAATAACATTGAGACTTTCAGAATCAGCAGAAAGAAGGAGCTATAAGATAATATAGACCTAATAACCATAGCAAGTAAAATGGGCTACCTTGTGAAAAGACCTGCATAAACATCACTGCTAGTAAGATTATAAAACACTATCCTAAAAACAATAGCACTTGTTGATTGGCAAGGTGTTTAAAATATGTGCTGTAATTCAGACTTAATTCTACTCCTTCCTAGATAGAGGATCATACATGCCGCAAATTTACCAGAATATTTAATCTATGCATTTCCAAAAATTCAACTAGCCCATTGTGTTGTTTTTTGGATAATTGTACTTTAAAAGGCCTGTCAAAAATTTGGAAGATGTGGAATTGACCAGAAGATGATAAGTTAAATTTAATTTGACATTTCACTTGCTTGTATTTGTTCCCAGAAAAATCACACAGTTGCGTTCTGTAATTTAATCTCTGAGGCCTAAATGCCTTCATATTACAGCTAATCTTTTTACCAATGGTGCATTGCAGAAAACAAATCAATACTAACAAAGTAACAGGAGAAGGAGATTTAAGATCAAGCGTGTCTACAAACAACCTGGAAATGGTTAGTACACAGAAGATTTCCACAGAGCTGTTAGTGTGGGAAGCTTTTAATTCTTCAACAAAAAGAAACGGTGCACTGTCCAACCAACTAGTCCCAAGTTGCAACGCAACAGAAAAAAGTAAAGTTAATCGGGCTGGTTGTGAATGACAATTTTACAAACAACACCTCTTTGAAAAAAAAAACCCCAGAATTTAATGTGATGAATGTAGAAGTGGTATAGTATAATAATTAGCTATGATGATCAAGAAGGATTTATTGAACAGATGGTAGAAGGAAAGACATTTTTAAAGTTATTGGCACAGGTGTATATAAATACAGGATAATGTAATAGGTGCAGAGGGTTATCATATCTGCCCTACAGGCACCCGGGACAATAGAACATGGGGGATTGCTGTGTTTCTTCCTCTGACTATAAGACCTTCTATGCCTCAAAAGGAACCTGCTTCAATGTTACCATCTGGAATTTCCTTCACAGAATGGCTGCCAGAACAGCTTCTATAGGCTGCCAATATTCTAGGGAAATGTGGAGCAGCAATCATAAATTTACAGCAGTGAAAGACAATCTTTGGAATTCTAGATGTTTGTAGCTTGTGTTCACCATGACTCTTAAAATGCCATACGGGCTGCCAAAGATTCACCATAAGTTAACTTGGTAGTGGAACAGCTCACACAAAGGCCAACATGAAAAGAGTCTGCATTATTTTAATATATTTAAAAGGACACTTTAGTCACCAGAACAACTACAGCTTATTGAATTTGTTCTAGTGAGTAGAATCATTACCTTCAGGCTTTTTGCTGTAAACACTGACTTTTCAGAGAAAATGCAGTGTTTACAGTACAGCCTAGTGATAACTCTACTGGCCACTCCTTAGATGGCTGTTAGAGATCATTCCTGGGTCATGGCTGCCTAAAATGCATCCAAACATTCAGTGTCTCCTCCGTCTGCATGCAGACACTGAACTTTCCTCATAGAGATTCATTGATTCAATTCATCTCTATGAGGAGATGCTGATTGGCCAGGGCTGTGTTTGAATCATGCTGGCTTTGCCCCTGTAAAATCTAAATTTTGGAATGGGGTTAATGTAGAATCTTCTTAATTTCTTCTGGTCTTCAATTGATTGATATATATACGTCTTTTGTATATATATTCTTGGGCCAAATGCTCGCCACAATAATATATGTCTATATTATTGAAAAGTAGTAATACGCAATCTGACTTACGGTTTCTTCAGGTTTATTCTTTGTTACAGATACATAATAAAACATAATAAATGATGTTACAGGATAATGGACATTCAACAGCAGATGGTAATTGCTGGACTTCTGATGGGAGAGTTACATCGTTGTACAGAGCCAAGAGCCAAGCTAAGACAGCGACCTCGTGTCCCTCTGTTACTATATAGATGTGCTAATACTAACGTCAGCGTTTAACTCTTGCCATATAAGGACAAGACCCCCGAATCCACATTCCAGAGCTCTCGGACAAAGAAAGCCTTGTGACTTATTGATACCATCTGTTAGTTATGTCAATCCACACATCCATATATAATTAATAGAAACATAGAATATGCAATATTCTACAGCCCCTGATCTGCCTCTTTGTCAGTCTCAGCCAATCCTATGGAGAAGCACTGTGATTGTTCAGGCTAACACTTCTGCTTATGTCAGCAGGCAGTGGGCAGGTCTAAAGGAAAGAGAGCCAGAGCTAGCAACTCCAGACTTAAATACAAGTAAGATTTTGCTATTTTTAGGGAGGCATGAGGGGACCAGGATGGCAGGATGGTGGTTTTAACCCTATAGGGTCAGGAATACATGTTTGTGTTCCTGACCTTATAGTGCTCCTTTAAGATGAGAGAATTGACCATGTGTCATCTTTAGTAACAAAACAATATGGATCCCCTGTTGGAGATGGTGGAAGAAGAGAGGAGGACAGGTGGTGCAAGGAACAGAGGTGGTGAAGAGCTACAGTTGGAGCAGAGATGGCCATAAGATGAGGATGGGCAAGGGGAAAAGGTTACAAGCAGATGGGTTGGATGATGTGACTTGCCTTATTGTGAAACAGAATAAAGAATAAAACATTTGCTTTTTAATAGGGAATGGCTTGACAGGTGGACCAGATGACTTATCTGCTTTTATTCAGTATTAGGGATGGACATATCAGTGCTAGCAATACTCTGCGGATACTGAATAAGTCCATAAAATTTGATGGGTCAGTGGAACTCTGAAATGTGATAGTGCAAACCAGTTCTTTACAAAGGGAGTGGTCCATGTATTTCAGAAATATATTAATTGTAAAGCCCCAGAGTATCAATTGATCGGAAGATATTATGGTTTCAGTAAATGTTTATTTTTTTTGCAAAACAATTTATTCCCTAAGAACATTAACATTTATTTAAACCACTTAAAATAACAGATTTCAATTTGTTTACACTTTATGGGAGTTATGGTTGCGTGTGGTCTTTGTAGACACTAGGGATCAGTTTTCTATGTTACTCTCCCTTGTGTTCTTTAATTAAGAAATTGGTGTGCATTTTTTTTTTTGCATTGTACATTTTCCCACCCACTGTAACAAATGACCTTAACATTTAATATTATTTCTAAGGTATTAAGCAAATGCTCCCAAAAGTACAGTTTAAAGATACATTCACTCCTAGCACAAAACATTGCAGTTTAGTAATATTATTATTATCATTGGCATTTATATAGCACCACCTTATTCTGCTGTGCTTTACAATATTATAAAAGGTGGAAATTTAACAATGCATTTGACAAATACAAAATATTACAGGAATAATAGGTGATTAGATTCTTTGATTTAACTAGAAAAAAACAAACAACACTTTCAAACAACATCATCTGACGTATGAAACCACATTTGTTAAGTGCAGATAAATTCTACGTTCTACGCGTCTAAGTAATGCATAACAAAACAGAACATAAAAAAAAAATATTAACACTGCATGTACAAACTTGGGCTACAATTAAATAATGTGTCATACACGTTAATCACCTTGTTTTAAAGTGGTTTATAAAATCAGATATTCTACTATATGCTTTTAGTTTATTAATGCAAGTTCAGGTATCTCATAAATAGTACAGTTTGAAAGACTTACAAAATGTGTAAATAAAGTGTATGTAAATATGTAATCCGGATGACAAATTAACGAGAAACAATGACAATTTCCATATAAGAACAGTCATCTTTCCAGCATGTTGCCAAGATAAAAGTTGTAAAAGGTCTAAAAGTCTGATATAAATAGCTCCTGGATTAAATATCAAGTCCTTTGCCATTAGCCAGGCCTTTAAAGTTACTTGCTGTGCAAGCCTGGAGAGTCCATGGCACATTCACCTGGGGTGAATGTCTACTCACTAGGGTTACATTTTTGCTCACCGATTGCTAGTAGAAATTTTGAGCCCTGATTTTAGATACTTATATAAATACTTTAAAGTGAAACTGCCATTTTCTAGGATTTTTCATAATAGGTTTACTGATCCTTGTATATAACAGTGATCTCTTTGTGAGGTCTGAAAAATAAATATGTAGCCGTCCACACTGCTGTATTTACCACTCTATCCTGCAACTCTATCTCTATCCTGCAATTGGGAATCTCCATCTTGGCTCACTGACAGTCATTTTTTATTAATGTTGCCTTTTTCTGCCATTAATGTAAGTATCACTGAACGTAGAAAATGAAAAAAAAAAAAAAATTCTGTTCTCCTCATTTGCATTGTGTGCCATAGCTGTGCCTGTAGTGAGCTAGATTGGAATGTCATTTCTTTCAAATATCAATATATATTTAAACCAAAACAACTTTAACAAATTATGGGCAATTAAGATTCGTGTGACGATTCTCCTTTATCTCTTGGTTAAGGCAGCCACATGAAGTGCACCTGTAAGTAATTCCATTAGACCACTTACAAAGTTGCTTTTATTTTGTCATATAAATTATAGACTTGATCGTTGTCAGATCAGAAATTAATGAACAGCCCCTAAAAATTATATAGATTTTATTCTCTAGACTGTAAGCTCGTTTGAGCTGAATCCTCATCGACCTATTGTTCCTGTAACATTTTGTAATTGTCTCATTTATTGTTAAATTTCCCTCTTATAATATTGAAAATCTCTACGTAATATGTTGGCGCTATATAAATACCAATAGTAATACAGTGTTTTTTTCTATATGCAATAAAAACAAAGTCAGTGAAGTTGTTCTTCATTGTAAAAAACCCCCACAAACATACAGCTCATGGCATTGAAAAGCAGTTTAAAAAATATTTGTCTCTGCAGTGAAAATGTTTTCTGTCCAATAGTGTCATGACTTTCCCTGGAAAAACAAGTGCATGCATTCGCTTAGCAAATGAAAGTCATCAATGGCTGCTATTATAGAACCATCAGAACACATTTAGACACTCAGACTGAGAGACAAAACATCAGACACAGACTTCCGCTTAACTAAATACAACGATCATAACAGATTTGACTTTGGTAATTGATGGTTGCCCGCAGATTAATCCTTGGCAACAAGAGGAATGATTATAATGAAGCCGTAGGATAGCAAGTGACTCAATGTAAACTGATTTTGTAACCTTAATATCAGTAAATTCCACATGGCCAAAAGTGAAAAATAAATAATTATTATTATTAATAATGTATTAAAATTCTTATATAGGGGGCATGGCTTGGCGCAAAATGAGAATGGCCACTTGAATCCCAAGCTCCAAACTCTGCTGCTTCAATCAGCCTCATACCACAACAACTAAGAACCCATAGGCCGAACAAAATGCCTACAAATGACCCCCTCAACACCCAGGCTGCAAGGAAAGGCTCCATCAGCGTCCATCCACAGTTACCTGCAAACCCCAGGGATCCTTGCATCGCAACACGAGGCCTCACATGTGGCGCCCTCTTCCCCGGGCCTCACCGTCTCGAAGGACAGCCAGCTGACAGATGCCTGCACACAGGGAAAGACTACCCCAGACTGGTATGCATTTTTCGCGTTGCTCCCTAAGAAGGAGCATCTCCAGACAATAGTGCAGGAGGTAAAATCCACTCTCCGAACGGAGATTGCTACACTCCGCACCTCTTTGACAGACCTAGAGGGGAGGGTGAAGGCCCTGAAAACCGCAGGCCCTGTGGCAGCATGCTCACCACTCAAGATCATGGACACACATGCCAGACAGTTCACAGACCTGCGGCACCATGTTGAAGATCTACATAACAGCTAGAGACAAAGGCCCAGTTCGGAAATACCAAAAAATAGCACACTTTGGTATATAGCATACTGACAACACTCTAGCACAGAAAGTTGACAGCAAACGTCTAACTATGAAGACACCAAGCGTAGGCCCGTACACTCACACATCTAGGCCCATGGCCTACTCGCACTATTTCAACCAACACAGATACCAAGTGTGCATGGGTGACCGCAGCTGCGGCACGAGCTGTATTACCGGACCCTCATACCTCACAGCTGTTCCAATAATGCTCTAACTGGCAGCACTTTCAGCAGAGAGCGTAGCATAGATCATAAATAGCCTGATGGACCTTCCAACAGTCTTGATTAGATTTTGTGTCCTGGGGAAAGCAAAGGCATTCCATACTTTCCCATTGATACTCTTTTCAATACATTTTTTTTTTTTTTACTTTTTTTCTCTCTCCCTCCTACCCCCGCCCCATTCTCTTCCATCTCCTTCTCACATGTGCTTATGTTAGATGCAAGGGTGGCCTAGGTTTTAAAACTGCAGGCCTGACCAGATCAAAAGTACTCAGGAATGTGTATAAATACTATAACTCGCCAAACGGACAGTTAATGTGTTCTTCCCCCCCTTCTCTGCCCTTTCCCTTTATTTATTTTTTACTCTCTTTCTTCCTTCTCTAAGCCACCCACATTACCTCCTAGAGAAGTATTACTCAGTCGATTGCTAATTATTACTTGCAAGGCACAAGCGACAGAACAGGTCTCCTAGTGGCTGGTTTCCATTGGATATACTTATCTCCAATTGTAGGTACATATTCTGGTTAAATAATTGGTAATTGAAAATTGTTGGAAAATGTTGTTAAGTTAACTTGATGCTATATCTTTGTTGTTTTCCGATCACTTTGCTCATTGGCAGTAGGGTTTGGACGACTGCACCATTTTTTGTAACAGTTAATTGGTCACTCACAACTGACTTGGGACACACCACCAACACCTACACAGGTTTACTCAAACACCACTGGATAAGGGTGCTAGGAGCATTCTCCCCCTGGCAAACCCGCAAATTACCCCCCTTTTTTTTTCTCTCTTCTCTCTCCATCATATCACAAGAGGGCAAACAGGTGACCGGGGACGACACATATAGGGCTTTTCTCCCTCCATAACTCGCACTACCCAATACAACCCCAAGACCTCACTGGCACTCTTACCACCTCAATTTTCCGCCCTTACAGCTACCGCTCCCTCACGTGCCCCTAGCTGGGAGCCAGCTCGGCGTACTCGCTGGGTGCACTTGAGTGGTCTCCCTTTACTTTCACTCTCGCCCCTCCTCCCCCCTTTTTTCTCCTCTCTTCTCTCTCACCTCTCCCTACCCCATACATGGACTCCGCCCCCATCATCATCACAATTACGTCACCCATCCCTTTCCAGAAACCCTGGGTATGGAGACTCAACGAGTCATTGATAGAAGACCCCCTGATCAAAACAGAACTTCAAACCCAGTTAGAACAATTCTTCCTCACAAACCAAAGACCGGACTGCACTCCGGAGACTATATAGGAAGCACATAAATGCACGGTTCCAGGTCTCCTGATTTGACATGGGGCACAACACAAAAAACAACGCTCACAGGAAATAGCTGACCTTACGTTGAAAATAGCAGACCTGGAAAAACTACATAAACACACTCTAGACGAAGACACATATAAGCAACTGGTCCTGGCCAGGGCGGACCTGAACTCACACCTCTCCCATAAGATCGCATTTAAATTTTGCTTGGCCGAAAAAGCGTTCTATGAATATGGTAACCAAAGCGGAAAAATTCTAGTTAGAGCCTTGAGGAAAAAAAAAAACTGTCAGAAGTGCTTTATATCCGAAATCAAGCACAACGGAACTACCCGCGATTCCGGAGGGCTTCCGCCTGTCTTACAAATCCCTATACAACCTACCCAAGCACGACACGGAAACTGGAGACCACGACTTAAACAGACTTACTAATCAAAACACATACCTCACCACACACCTCAAATCCAGGATCAAAGCAGACACAATTCGCTCCCTGAATGAACCGATCACAGCAGAAAATCTGTCCTTGGCTCTGAAACTGGCTGAAAATGGGAAGAGCCCAGGGCCAGATGGCCTCACCATCAAATATATAGAACATATTTCAAAAATCTTGCACCCCACCTACTCAACATGTTTAATACGATCAAGGATGGAGGTACCCTCGACCCCAACACATTAATGGCACACATAGTGGTGCTCCCGAAGGAGGGTAAAGACCCCACCGCATGCCCCAGCTACAAGCCAATCTCCCTGTTGAACACCAACCTGAAACTATTTGCGAAGATCCTAGCTCTTAGCATCCAACCTATTCTACTGAAACTGATCCACCCAGACCAGGTGGGGTTTGTAAAAAATAGAGAATAACACTACCAAAGTACTCAATTTGACACACAAAGCCCGGACATGATCTTCACCAACACTCCTGGTATCCACAGATGCGGAGAAGGCATTTGACAGGGTAGAGTGGACTTTCCTGTTTGCGACATTGCAGCAAATGGGATTAGGTGCAAAAATGAGGGCATGGATCGTAGACTTGTAGAATAATCCGTCATCACGGGTATACGTGAATAGCACACTGTCCCATCCGTTCCATATATGAAATGGCACTCGACAGGGTTGCCCTCTGCTGTTCGTCCTCAGCCTGGAACCCTTTCTAAATGCAGTGTGCGAAAGGCAAGACATCACATGCATACGCAGCAAGTGGGGAGTAAGCAAGATCTCTGCCTATGCTGACGACTTATTATTCACTATTCAGAACCCACAATTTTCACTCTCCATTATGCATGAATTCAAAAAGTATAGCTCACTTTCAAACCTCCAAATCAATTACTCAAAATCCAAAATATTACACTTCGGCTGTGACCGTACCTTGATCACCTCTCTGAAGGCGCAATTCCCGATGGAATGGTGTAAAGATGTGATAAAGTATCTAGACATCTGGATCACTGCGGACATTTCTCACAAATTCAGATGCAACTTCCCTCCCCTAGACCGCATATTTAAGAATTTGGAGGAATAGTCCGTGCCGCACATCACCTGGCTTGGAAAAGTGAATGTTCTAAAAATGAACATGCTCCCAAGCTTCCTATATCTCCTACAGACGCTTCCCATCTTCGTCCCCCAGACTTTCTGCGCTCAGATACACAGTACTTTCACGAAATACGTATGGCGGAACCGGACATAAGGACCATGGTCCTTATCATGACGTGAGGTGGGAGAAATCAGATATACAAGAAGATCTGGATTCATTGAACACTATGGCGGATTACCAGATGAGTAAAACTGGAGTCTAGACCGTTAACTGCTGATATAACAGATCTGACCGCACCTCTGACACCACGGTAACATACAGGACCAAATCTGGTCTAGGTCCAATCTCCATTGGATGAATGACGCAACGCAGCGGTGGTGTCTGTGGGGTGGCGGAGAGATGGGGCGGACATCGTCCACCAATCTACACACCCCTTTTCCACCTCCCCCCCCCTTCTTCCTCTTTATCTCTTTTCCCCTCCTCTTACCAACTCACTTTCCTGCACCCCTTCTCTTCCCACCTCTATTACCCTTCTTTACCCTCTCTCCCCCCTCCCATTCTCGCCAGTGCTAATTTACAACCATTGATCACTTCACCCTCCAATGCCAGAATCCCCGTCAACATGGATGGATTGACTATACCACACTCTCTCATAGAGCCCAGAATTATTTCCACTATCCCCCAATACAGACTACATGCCAACCAATTTACTGTACGACTCAGTTGGTAGACACCAACTTACTCTGTACCAATCAACATGCTCATAAGGATCCAATACGCTAAGCTGTTATCAATTATGTGTTATTTGTTTACATTAATGTCTCAATCCTCCTCCATGTATTCTGTAACAAAATCACAATGTCTATTGTCATTATTGTTCATTTTTGCTTATGAGCTCGTACAAATAAGCTTTTCAAATAAAAAAAAAATACATAAAAAAAATAGATAAAGCCATTATCTATATTTATTATATATTAAATAATTATTATATATTGCACTTTTTTCCCTCTTCAACATTCAAAAACAATTAGCATAAAAACATGATAAAGAATAAAGATTGGCATCCCTTTCACACACCAAACTGCAGGAGCTTTAAAGAAATAGAAAGTTGGAGATAAAGAGAGAGAGTGTGTGTGTGTATGTGTTTTTTTTGTTTTTTTTAAAGGAACAATCTCACCACCATAACAACTTCAGCTCATTGGTATTATGTAGCAAGAGTGTCCTAACACTGAAGTTGGGGCTCTGGAATTCAATAGCTCTGCCCTTGGCGTCCTTCTGCTCTGCCTTCGCAGTATGAGAAAGGTTTAGCTAGGCATCAAGTGATAATGTACGTAAACTCAAAATTTTCAAGAAATCCCAAAAGGTAGATCCCAGATGTTTTAAAACTACAGCTTCCGTGATGCTTTGTCATTCTAAAGCAGAGTTCTTCAAACTGTGGCCCTCCAGATGTCGCTGAACTACAACTCCCATGATTCTTTAAATTACATAGATAGCCAAAGAATCATGGAAGTTGTAGTTCAGCAACATCTGGGGGGCAGGAGTTTGAGGACCCCTGTTCTAAAGCATTCTAAAGGCATGCAAAGCATCATGGAAGTTTAAGTTCTACAACATCTGGGGGTCTACCTTTTGGGCACCCCTGAAATAGATAGACTGTTTGATGTTTATTTAAACAATACAAAAATATATTTATAAAAAAACAAATACAAATAAAATAAACGTATCAGTATACAAGCATGGCGTCAATGGTAGTTTGTGTCAGCCTGTCAGACATTTAATATACAGGTTGGTATATGGTTTGTATCCATGTAAATCGTCACATTTACTGTGCAGTGAATACATTGTAAAAGGTGTTTGTAATACTGTTAAAGAGTTCTGAGCTTTAGCAGATACTTTGACTATTTAAATTTACATACTAAGAAAAGATGACAGAAAACTGGATTTGACGTGATCCTAAATATTTGCAGTTCAACATTCTTTTGGCTTAATACCTGGCCGAATAAACTTCCTGTATAAAATGCTTATATATTCCACAAGTTTATATTTATTTTTTATTGTTTTTATTTTTTTTATTTAATAAACTGCACAAATCCCTTTGGCAATAAAAAAACAAAATGATGCAACAATGCTTAGTCTTGATTATTTTAAAATATAAAATCTTGATTATTTAAAGGAACACTATAGTCACCTAAATTACTTTAGCTAAATAAAGCAGTTTTAGTGTATAGATCATTCCCCTGCAATTTCACTGCTCAATTCACTGTCATTTAGGAGTTAAATCACGTTGTTTCTGTTTATGCAGCCCTAGCCACACCTCCCCTGGCTATGATTGACAGAGCCTGCATCAAAAAAAAAAAAACTGGTTTCACTTTCAAACAGATGTAATTTACCTTAAATAATTGTATCTCAATCTCTAAATTGAACTTTAATCACATACAGGGGGCTCTTGCAGGGTCTAGCAAGCTATTGACATAGCAGGGGATAAGAAAATCTTAATTAAACAGAACTTGCAATAAAGAAAGCCTAAATAGGGCTCTCTTTACAGGAAGTGTTTATGGAAGGCTGTGCAAGTCACATGCAGGGAGGTGTGACTAGGGTTCATAAACAAAGGGATTTAACTCCTAAATGGCAGAGGATTGAGCAGTGAGGCTGCAGGGGCATGTTCTATACACCAAAACTGCTTCATTAAGCTAAAGTTGTTCAGGTAACTATAGTGTCCCTTTAAAAATATCAAAAAGCTATAAAAAAAAAAAAAAGTCCACAATATGTGACATCTGTGTAAATTAAAGCAATGATGACTTGGCATTTTTTTTTCTAAATTAAAAATTGTATATACATATAGAAACACTCCATTGGCAAGTTAATGACAATGATAGGGGAAACTGGGAATATACTGGACTTCAAGTTCCTTCAGATATCTAGGGTTAAACGTCAACAAGCCAATGTTTTACTTTATTCACCATTTTCTAGGCAACCAGCATAGTTGGTCTGATTTGCAATCGATTATTTTATTTTCCGGATCCCCAAATGCAGACATGTAGACTCTAATCAGCCACATATATATATATATATAAATATATAAAAATAATAAAATTTTTATATATATATATTTGTGTTAGGTGCTTATGATAGTACAGAATAAAATACCATAATGAACGTAGGATGGTATAAAAGAGCAAGTCGGTTGTGGTGTGCCGGAACCGACAATGAGGTAGGCCTGAGAAAGAAGAGGGCTTACCAAGGAAAAAGAAATGAAAAATGAAAATAATTATTTATAATGTGGTGTGGTGGGAGGGTCATTCAACGCTGACCTTGAACGGTATGGAGCCAGGTAAGGGGTGTCTCTTAAGTAGGCCAGCAGTGAATAACAAGCACCTCCCACAATTACAGGCCAAATGGCCTTAATATTTGTGTTAGGTGCTTATGATAGTACAGAGTAAAATACCATAATGAACGTAGGATGGTATAAAAGAGCAAGTCGGTTGTGGTGTGCCGGAACCGACGATGAGGTAGGCCTGAGAAAGAAGAGGGCAAAATTAAATAATCAAATTTATTACAGACAACCAATACAAATACACATATCAACTAGACATGTCTTTGAATGCATTCCTTAATTCTTGTACTGGGTTCGGTATGTACTGTGAGTAAGCGGATGATTTTCAGCGCCCCAGTGCTTTTATAACATGAACTGGAATGTTAACACTGGAGGCCGTATATGCTGCCCCTATGCGGAACGAGTGCCCTGAGTAGTTAGCTGGGTTGAGGCCTAGCTGCGTGAGTAAAGACCTGACGTAGATCATGAAGGTTGTAGTGGTGAGTACCGAACTTTGTAAAATGAATAATGGTTTTGATGGAGTTATGATGTTGTATGTATGCATCAAAGATCGTGACTGGGCACCACCTGTTGTGCGTAGGATAGTATGCTATTTTTACTGGAGCTTGCTGACTGGTCTTGGAGTGAGGATGTAATGATCCATGGGTTTTGTTAAGTGGGAATAGAGGAGAATAGGAGTAGATTGTGTGGCGTTGGTCGTAGTGAATTCTCTAGGTCTTAGGAATCCATAGAAAGTTATGTAGATTGCTGCTTTGATGACAGAATTTGTGTTGGTGTCAAAAGGTTTTAAATCGAGCAGGTTAGACAATGCTTTGAAAATATGGTTGTCTATGGGTAGCCTCTGTGATGTACGTGTGGGTTCAGATTTCTGAATGCCCCTGAGGATAGTCTTAATCTGGTGAGAGGCCATGAAACTTGTGTTGTTTGGTTGTAAGGTTAGCACATGGTGTTGAATGCCTGTTAGATAAAGTTTGATGGTGTTGTATGACATCTTAAGTATAAGGTGACAAAAAGAAGCAAACCCCAACAAAGATGTCATGACAAATGGTTGCATGATGTTATGTTCCGAAAGGAATCTTTTGAATAATGTAAAGGCCCTGTCTGTATGTTTTGTGTGTATTGTTTGACAGTGCCAGTTGGGGCAGTGCCCTGCTATGATGCATAATGGTGTCTAGTCCAGTACTAGTTGCTGAAATACTGGAGTAGTTGTGGCTGTGAGTGCGGCTGACGGGAGTGCTTGATGGAATGCCTGGAATTTAAAATGAGACAAACTGTCAGCAGCTGTGTTACATACACCTGGAACACGGAAACAATACAGGAAGAAATTATAACAAGCAGCCAACCAAGTGAGTTTCCTCAGAAATCTCATGATCGTAAGGGATTTGGAACAACCTTTGTTGATGATGTAACAGGTTGCCTGGTTATCTGAATAGCAACGTACTGGCAAGTTTGCCCATAAATGACCCCATGCTACGGCAGCCGCCACGATGGGATAGATCTCAAAGAGAGCTGAGGTAGTGCAAAAACCCTCCAAATCCTGAACTGCTTTAGGCCAGCTGCCCCAAAGCCATTCGTTCCCAAAATTGCTGCAAAACCTGTGGTAGATGCCGCATCTGACCAAATGGTAGGTGAAGAGTCAGTCAATTGAGGGAGGAACATACTTTTACCATTCCAAGTGGTTAAAAATTTCTTCCACATGCGTAAGTCTGCCGTAGCTTGGGTATCTAAGGAAACCTGTGTGTGTCGTGTAGGAAGAGTGGAAATAGATACAAGAGTCGTGATATGAAAGAGCGGCCTTGAGGTATGATACGCATGGCAAAATTTAGAGAACCCAGCAGGGACTGTAGCTCTTTGCGGTTGCAAGTACCGAGCTGAAGGTAGTGGTTGATGTAGGTAAGAATGTTTCCTATCTTGTCGTGTGGCAAGCTTGCTTGCATTTTGGTGGAGTCTAATTGAATACCCAGGAATGTGATAATCGTGTCTGGCCCCTCAGTTTTCTTTGGGGAGATTGGGACACCTAGCTACTCGAATAGCTTGGTAGTAGCTTTGAGGATACTGGGAGGGGAAGTGTTATCCTTGACCAGTAAGAAATCATCCAGGTAATGTAATACAGTAGGGCATCTGGCTATGTTCAATAGTAACCAGACAATGCTTCGTCAAATGTGTCGAAAATAGCAGGGCTACTTTTGGACCCAAAAGTTAATCGGGAGAAAAAGTAGTAGTTCCCGGACCACTTGATGCCATGCAGGTGCCACAGTGTAGGGTGAATTGGCAGCAATTTAAAGGCGTGAGTAATATCGGTCTTACTAAGCCATGCTCCGACCCCTGCCTGTATGATAGCTGTAATGGCGTGATCTATGGTAGTGTATTGCAGGGAGAATTCTTCGGAGGGTATGAGGGAATTGAGACTGGGGTTAGCCGATGAGTGTGGTGCCGACAGGTCAATAATGAGTCTTTGTTTAAGGGAAGATTTCCCTGTGACAATACCAATGGGGTTAGTGCGCCATTCGTTGAACGGAGGAGACTGTAAAGGACCCAATAAGAAACCTTCAGCAACTTCCTGAGCTATGAGAGTGTCAACAGCTGTGGGGTTGTGCTGTGCGGATTGTAGATTAGGGCATTCCAGAATCCTGGACGGTATGTGTAGAATACCAGTCTGGAAGCCTTCTGTTAAACCAGAGATAAGAAAATCTACCAAGTGTCTAGACGGGTGATGTGACAGAAATGTTGTAAATACCGAAATGTTAATGGACGTTAGGTACGGCTTAGGGTACATTTTATTTGGACACATGGTTTTGGCATGTGCCCTAAAACATTTTAAACAAACAGATATGCAATAATCTACATCCATTATAATTACAAGACCCGACATTGAAATTATTACATATCTGGGACTTGCCCAGAAACTTGATCGGGCGTCCCAGTTTGTCTCTGGTTACTTTCTTTGAAACACCGGAGGAACTAGCTTCTTGTGTGGAAGCATGTTCGTCCGCCGTGTTGGTACAGAAATTTGTCGTATTTGCCGTAGAGGAGCAGTATGCACAAGCCGGTGTTCTTAGACCTGCAAAGTATGACGGTATCAATCCTACCCCAGTTGGATCTTGTTTCATGCTGGGAGAAGGCCCCAGACACTTTTGCAGAAAAAGACCTATGGTAGTCATAAAAGGCTGATCCACCATATTTGTTGCCCAGGTCTACCAGCTTGTGTATATAAAGATCAAACTCCTCTCGTCTATTGGGATAGACCGCACAGATGACGTCCCGGTAAATACCAAAAGCTAGTACAAACTCGGGAATAGTCAGTTTCCTGTTTAGGCGGGCGTCCGTAGATTTGACCACAACAGACACATCATCATATGCATAAGTCTTATTTTTTACGATATCCTGGGAGGCAATCAGCAGAGAAGCCAGGTTGACGTCTTTACCTTCCAGGATATCTCTTTTTAGGTGCTCAGGGATCATATGAGCAGGGCTATCTTCCTGGTCTAGGCATATTGCTGCTTTTTAGATAAATAAACAGAATGCCCCATTAACGCAGGGCACAATTTAAGGTTGGATCGAGGTCACACTTCTACTGTACGTTTTTCCAAGGTGGAATTTGTTAAATTTTGATAAACTAGAGACAAACATTAATTTACACAGATCACATATAGCTAACTAGGAAGCCCCCTTCATTATTCTACATCACTGATATGCTTTTGGTTTTGGTATCTGCTTCCTGAACCATATTAACCATATGCAGTCCCTGCATAATGCCAATTTATTCCTGGGGCTAGATTTTTTTTTTATATATGGTCATATTATCTTTCAATCTCAATCATTGTATTGCATTCATTGTCACGCAATCACCCACAGTTACAGAAGACTACAAGGGCTAAATTATGGTTTTATTCATATTCCTTTTTTAAAACATCAAACAAGGGAATAACTAAATCTAAATGAATGGGTTATTCCAGGCATCAGGATCATTTCAAACTTTTGAAGTGGTCATGGTGCCTGGTGTCTGTATATGCAGAGTTTCGCTTTGAATCACTGGACATATGGAGATTAACTCCTCTGTTGCTAGAGTTGTACCTCCAGCAATGTCACTGGGGTGTCATTAGATAGCCTGGAACAAGAGCTGGCTGATGTCAAATTTAGATGTGGACAATATTAGTGAATCAATGAGTGGCAGAATCTTCTGGATTTTCTTGCTCTGCAGAAGGTGGATGTTTGAAATCTGATGTTAAAAGAAGTGCAAGTGCCAGACGGGACTCCGGTGAGAGAGCAAACACCAACAAAAGGGTTTGCCTAATTAGTGGGGAATGGGGTCATGGTACTCCTACCATGTCCCCCAGCAGGCTGTAGTGGTTATGATGTTTAGAATGACCCTTTAAAGGAAGACTTTATTGTGTGTCCTTTCTAGTTTTTTTAAAACTCTTTCTAGTCTTTCAGTGAGTAACAGTTTTTTTTCTTCCTTTGTCTTCGATACTATCTGATTGCAAAAATGTCTGCCTTTGCGAATGCAGCAATTTATTGTAAAATATGTTTTATAAAGCAGGGTACTGATAATTTGTATTGCAATAATATCTATTCTACAATGTGTAAGGAATTCATTTGTGGCCCAAAGAATAAATGTGTTGTGAAACTTGCTGGGTCCAAGCTTCTCTCAATATCGAGCACCATTCATTCTCCACAGCAAAAATAGGAATATCCCTACACGTAGGCCGCTTCCACCCAATTCCTATGCATTCTCATCGATCTTTGACGAAAAGGTTCTGTAAGTCCCAAAGAATTCAAAAGAACTTTGCACACACAAAGTATCTGAATCCAGAACCCAACCTCTCAATCCATGGCTGTTGTTATGTCATGCCACTGTAAGGACATGCCCAACCACATATATGAACACTAAATATATACTGCATTACTCTTCCTAAACTGAATGATGTTTTGACTTCTGGATTAGCACTCAAATACCACCACCAATAACTCCCAGTATTTAACAGATTAAAGGATATCCTTTAAAGCCAGATAAAGCATCAATGACCTGTTTTTCTGCAACTAAAAAATAAAATAAAAAATACAAAAGAGAAAAAATCCTCAACTTCATTTCAAGGCCTCTCTCTTCAAGAAAGGAAAAGGAAAAAAGAAAGACAAAATAAACTCCACATTCAGAACAACTTACTGCACTGGATAATAAAATAAAGTATTAACCAGACAGAAGGAAGGTAGCAACGTTCTTGTGCAGTTCATTCTCTATTCCAAACGCACAAGGCTTTGAGGAGCTCAAATCCTTCCGATCAAGTCTTTATGCTGGAATTGCTATTCATAGATTCCTGAAATGCCTACAATTCTTTTTATTCAGGACTGAAACTCAGCAGCTTTAATGAGATAAAGAATCACTATCTCTGAACAAAGACATGATGCTTCAAAACACACAAGGAATTTTCATTTGGTTCCTGCAGACTTAAGGAAAGTAGTTGTGGGATATTTGTATGGAACACAAACCAGGGGATCACTCTTTATCTACACCCCTCACACATAAAAAAAAAATGTTTAAAATTAATTACATGCCACAATAAAATAGCAACAAAGGGAATCTGCCACGTGTACACCTTTTAGATCATTACACAGCATACACATCCTTACCCTCTCCTAATCACACTTAACAACCATGACTTTCTGTACACTTAAGATGACTCTAGATTCCAGACCAGGGATGTTCATGACCACCTGATCAATAATCACAATCATTATGTGAATTCTTAACTTCAAATCATGTCTTCATTGACAAATCACCTACTGAATCTTCTGCTGCATGGTTAGAAATAGTCTACAAAATTCTTCAGTCATCACTCAATATATAGCCAAAGCAAGAGGACAGATAGGATGACCAAAGACAATAAATAAATTAGAACATATCATCACTTTCTTAGGAGCCTTAAAAGGAACACAAAAGTCACCTAGGCCAATTTATCTCAATGAAGTGGCCTGGGTGCAGTGGCCCTGCCCTTTTAACCCTGCAGTTTAAGGGTTTTTTTGAGGTGCTTATGCGGCATTGACCAAGTGAGACTGTTGCGTGAGCCTTATATGAAAGCGTTAAATATGAACATGTGCTTCAGGTTTCAAATGCTCCTCTATGAGAAGCATTGGATTGGACCATAGTGGAGGAGGTGCAATGTCAAGGGAGTACTGGAAAAAGTTAAGTAAAAAAACTTTATTATAATAAAAATTTGGGGAAGGGAGGAAAACCTTTATAACTAGAGACACTAAAGCACTAGCAATACAGGTTTGTATTCCTAATGCTATAGAGTTCCTTTAAAGGACCACACTGTGCACCATAAGAATGTTATCCCCACTCCCTCTAGAATGTAAGCTCATTGAGCAGGGCCCTCCACCCCTCTCTGTTCCTGTAGTCCAGTTGTCTGGTTACAATTACATGTCTGTTAGTCCATCCATTGTACAGTGCTACGGAATCTGATGATGCTATATAACTGCGAACTAGTGGTCTGCATACCTTTCAAAACTGTCTGGCATATTCAGGCTCTAAGCAGGTTTATCCACTAATCTCCAAATTTCAGTAAATTAAAATGTGAACTGAAAAATTACAATTAAAATAGTCATACTTGGAGTACGCCCAGATTGGATGCTGTCTCCAAATCAGTCTTAAAGGCACATTTTACTGCCAACATAAAAATCCCTATTTAGTAGATATACCCAAATGAAAACATGCATGCCTTTAACTGTTCATTTTTCCATTAGGGGATATATCCAAGAACAGTTTGCAATAGATGCAGATTTCTTGTCTGCAGCCTTTGCAAGCCCTGCCCTTCTAACACAGCCCAGACTTTCTGTGGCTGTCCAATCACAGACTTCCCAATGCAGCTCAATAAGAAGTCTTTGCAGGGCAGGTGCTCTGGACAATTGCTGCATCTTGAGTTTAGCTCCACTGAGCTAACCAAACCAGGAAGTAACAGCTTGATTGACAAGCTTAAGTTATAAAAGTGCCATTTTTTATTGAAATGGACACTTTTTGTAAAATGAAAGAGTGAAAACACTCTTCATACATAAAGCACATCAGCAAGGTGTGTGATGTGAGTTCTTTGAATTTTGCATTTTGGATTGCAAATTTGATACAATACAGAGTTTACCTAATAACCATTTAACGCAGCTTCACTAAACTGTAAATAACAAGGAATTTTACCCCAAAACAGTAAAAGTGGAAACCAATCTGGATTTCCTAGGCAGTTCAGGGCTTAGTAAACCACCCTGACTCTAGATTTAATGTTAAATCTCTATTACTTTTTATACAGCAGAAAACACCAGACTCCGTTTAGAGGAGTACCAAAAATTCTCAATTGGAGTTTTACAGCAGGAAAGATGAAAAAGGTAATAAAAACATACCTTTGAAAACTACAAAGTTGTTATTTTTATGCTCTTAGAGGTGAACTTTTTTTTTTTAAGTGGTTCAATTTCCAGAAAACCATGAAAATAATCATCTATAGGACGTTATTTTTTTTCTTTTAGAATGTACATTAAAACGAGGCTTGACAAATTTGCTTGGAATCTAGGAGCCAGCTAAAAATGTCAGAAGTCAGGTCTTTCAACTACAAAAATAAATTTCTTAATGGGACACTATAGTCAAGAGAACCACTACAATACAATGTAGTGGTTCTGGTGTCTATAGCCTGTTCCTGCACGCTTTTCCATTTAAAGCCTTTTAAAATAAACAAACAGAATAAAAAAAAATACTGCTAAAAATGCCCTACAAATTCTAATGTGTTGGCACTCTCCACAAGGTGGTGCAGGTATTAGGGGTAAAAATGCCCTACAGTTGTTATCAAAATTAGTCATCTCCCAAAATCAGGTTTATTGTCAAAATTTCAGCTGTTTGCAATAAGCGAACAAAAGCAATTGAAATAGCTCAACACGATGAATATTTCAAGTGGTTTCCCCAAATTCAACAAAAAATGCAACTGTATAATCATAACGAGACCCTGCTCTTGCCAGGTTCCACATGGCATTGTGTCACCAGATTGCGGTATCATCCAGCAATAGCTTTCTGGGCATAGAAACACTGACAAGCTGCCAAATGTTTTCCGATGCCTGTTAGCCCATAGTGGCCCAGTAAACAATCAGTTAAAAATTGACAGCTGAAATTGACATGTCATTAATTCTACCATTTAACATCCCAAAACTCTGGTAAAGGTGTACATGTGAGGTATTAATGTACTTGGAGCAGCAGTAAAAAAAATAATAATGAATTTTTAACAGAAGTACAGCCCCAATTTTGGGGTTCTAAATCAGCTATTAAAGTTATAATTTGGGCAGACTAATATGGTCATCTATTTTGAGTTACTTGTTGTTTTAACCTAGTTGTTATAAACACAACTATATACAATATATTTAGTTATGTTATAATAGAGAGAGAGAGAGAGAGTTATACTATATATATACTTATGCCTGGAAGTGAAAGGTGCAGGTTGGCTGAGAATAGCCACAAAAAGTAAATAAACAGAGGAGAGTCAACAAGCTAGTTAAAAAAAACATTTTTCTTTTTTGTGTGTTTTTTTTTCTTCTTTCTTTTCAACCAGCTTATTGACTCTCCTCTGTTTATTTACTTTTTGTGGCTATTCTCAGCCAACCTGCACCTTTCACTTCCAGGCACATCATCTGCTATTTATGACACCCTACTTACTCCCTCCCCTGTTTTAAGTGTTAAACTCAGATTGATCAATGTTGCTTCAGTCCTGAAGAAGAAAGGAAATCTTTCCAGAGCTTGTCTTTGAAATAGTATGTTAGTCCAATAAAAAAGGTATCATTGCACACTGCAATACTCCGGTATTTTGGCATCTTGTCTACTAGACTAATATGGCTATTCCAATCTACAAGATCGATAGATAGCACAAAATGTGGTGGGCAAAAATTGTGATTGAAAACCCCTTCCACCTGAAGTCTGTGGATAGTTAATACAATGTTAAACAAAAATCTGCACACCAGTCCAGCCATAAGTCTTGCTTTTCCTACATGAATCACAAATTTGCAGTGATGTTACTACCGCAAAGGATTCTGGGTGGGCATATGCAAATTAGTTCAACAAAGAATTACATTTAACAAACACAGTTTAACAAACACATTGCAAAAGTGATTTTTAAAAAAGTCCTCAATCAAAAATTAAGAAAAGCTTTGTTCACTGAGGGGTTAAAAAAGGCATATTAACAGATTACTTTTTTTTTTAAATCACATATATCAACACTAATAATTATGTTGGCCATATTTAGAATGATGCTTGCACATTTACTGCAACAAGTGGTTAATTCTTTGAGGAACAAGTCACTGTATAGCCCTCAAGCACTGAAACCACTGAATGAGATTCTTTCTGACAACACAGAAGTTACATTACTCTTTTAAAAATGTAGGTGAATTATTACTGGTCTGGAGTGCTTAGTCCCCAGGCTGTAACTGAAAAAAAATGAGAAAAACAGGAGAGGTTTTGTTTAATAAGACAATACCTTTCTCCTGATGCCAAGGACTAGTAGCATTTCAAGCAAACCGTTTCAAGGCCAAGTCAAAAAAGAAAATGTTTATTTACATACATAGTAAAAACAGCTTCCGTATTACTCAATGAGACCAGGCAACTGTGCTCAGTGAGAATTCTGACAAACGTAGTGTATGATGTGAAATGGAATGTTAGTGTCCCCGACGCACAAAAAAACAAACTTAAAAAATTACCAACCACACATTTTATCACTTTGGTATCGAGACATTAAAAGGACCCTACGCACCATAACCATCACAGCATGCTTTAGTTGTTATGGTGCCAGACTCTTGGCATCTTCTGATCCAGATAGTAAACTGTCAAACAGATTTCTATTGAAACCTGCACTTTTTGTAAACAGGGAAATAAATAAATAAAAACACACTATTCAAACATAAACTACTTGAGAAAGCTAGTGTGCTTTAGGGGTCTGAAGTGTCTCTTTAACTTAACATTCTCAAGAATGCATTTGTACTTTAGCAAACGAATTATGGCACTGGCTGTTTTGTTTACTATACTAATACTGGACAGGAGTTGCCCAAATCAGAGCCTGACCCCAATGATCCTGTTCCAGGAGATTTGCATTAACTAGGTGTTACACATTGTCGCTCCTAAAGTTTGTTGTTGGATTGCCCAGGTCACAAAAAAATAAAATACAAAATCTAAAGTATACTATTCTGCGGTCTCTGTAGGAACAATGCATTTATTAAAAAATCTTTATTTCAGAGACAAGCACAGGTTTCATTGTACATACAGGGTCATAGTCAAGCATACAGCTTGTCTCTAGTTTTACTTTTTACATTCAAAGTAAAATGTAACATTTACAATTATAAACGTGAGATGGAAAATAGAAAATAGTTACTAAAAGACGATAAATGATAGAAAAATAATAAGGGAATTAGGAAGAAGGGACCACCGCGATTAGACATTTCTCGGTTCCTTCACAACCAACCAAGTAATGTTGTGGGGGCGATTTCCAGCCAGAGATCCCAGATTTTATAAAAGGATTGTAGTGTATTGTGTGCAGTGACCATCGCCGTCAACTGATCCACGGGAGATGATTTTCCACTAGTGATCTAGACAGAAGAAAAGGGCAGGGGTCTAAATAAAATGGCCTGTGGAAAACGGCTGTCAAGAGGTATCTAACCCCTTCCCAAAAGGGGGTTATTTTTGGACAGTACAGCCACATGTGAAGGTAGGAACTGTGTCGTCCATATAATCTACATCAATCATCTTTGATTTTCCCTATTTTCTACAGTTGAGCATGAGTAGTATCCCAGAGAAATAATATTTTACACATTTGTTCCTGAGCAGTTACATACATATGGAGACCCTGGCACACATGTCCTTCCGTACATCCACTTCCATCTACCCTCCCAGGTCTTGTTTCCATAAGAAAATATACCTCATTGGTCCCTAAATGGTAGAATGGGAGCAAATGTATTAATATTCATGATATTAAGCCTTTTTGATATTTGCCTTGAAGGTAAGTTACTTCAAATTGGGTAGGTGGGTCCTAGGCCACTTTCTGCACCCGTGACAATATCCCGACTTTGTATATGGCGAAATAAGTGTTTGTTACTTAGAGGGGCTTTCTTCTTCAAGGCAAAGAACAATGCATATTAATGTATTCTGTAGCACGCTGTATGCTAGCATACTGTATTCCAGAGTTTGATTATATTACAAAGGCATGAAACCAGGTTCTAGAAAAAAAAAAGATTTACAAAAAAACAAAAACAAAAGGTGAGGCCGCATATTTAGTTAGGCAGAGTAAGCTTTCCGAGGCTCTCCAGAAAAGGATATTTTCCATATGACATCACACACCATTACATATTATTGTGTGTTTTTAAAAACTCAAACATTTAGATATCTCACACACATTATGCAATACTAACTGCATAGCCCTGCAATTTCTTTGTGAAACAGGAGTGAGATCTGCTTTGTGCTGAACAGATGGCCTCACCAGCTGTGAATGGTGATTTGTGTGGCTAGGAGACATATTACACAGAACATTATATAGACAGTGATAACAAACAAGACTAGGGTAGGATTAATTCATCTGACCGTTTAAATGGAAGGGGGGGGAATGTGTACGTGAGTGTGTTGGGTATAACATATTTCGTTTTAACTTGTTTTTATAACTAGTTTTACTATGAGAAATATAACAGCAACAAGGTAAGAGCGTTGAGCACAATAACCGCAAAGTTGGCCTGGCTAGAAGGAGCCCTCACTCTTAGAAGTACCACAACAACTTATTGATTATGCAGAAGTGTAGTTATCGCCTTATCAGTAGTGATTTTACCATCCTGGACAGAAATGATATGCTAAAAACGACACTTCTGCATTATCTGGGAAGCTGAAGATGGGTATTAATCTAAGGGTGGCCAAATGATAGCCAAGATTTTTCCCAAACTGCCCCAAAATGTTGATAAAAAATAAAAATAAAAAAAGAGGGCATTGGCCTCATGCATATGGACTTTCAAAATAGTGTAATTGGCCAAATTGGAAGCTGTGTAATTAGGATACTAAACGTATTTAAGAAACATATTCCAGATAAACATTATTTTGTTATTATACCAACTTTCAAAAACAATATTGATTTTAAAATGAAAAAAACAAATGTTTTTATATGTACGTCTATTTAATTACAGATACAGGTGTGTTTTTGTGTGTGACAGACAGAAGATAAACAAGCATTGTAGGAGTGAATAACAGGTGCTATACTAGACAGCACAGATAACTTTTAAAAGGACAAAAAAGACAAATATGAATGTTTAGAGACGTAGAAATATTAAGAAGTGCAAACATACAAATTGGCAGCAAACCCATAATGCAAGGTGATTACAAAAGCCACAAAAGCCATTTGCAAACAGATGTCCTTTGAGTATACCATTTACGATAATCACCAGAGCATAAGCATCTGTATGTAAAACAGCAATGGCCAAGAATGTCAACAATGCGGCCACTTTGCATACCTCACATGTATGTTCGACCTAATTTATAAAAACACTACTGTTTATTAGAATTAAATGTCTGTATTATTTCTTATTGTACAGTGCTGCGAAATATTTGTCGACATAGAAATTATTGTGAATGTGTTTTGGTTCAGCTAACTGCTTTCACAAGTAAAAAGTTCGTAAGCAAACTGCAACTACCAGAAACCCCTGCTGTTCTACTCCACCCATAGAAGAAAATAATAATGTATCTCAGAGTTCAAGGAATTCTAGAACTAAAACAGAACACTAACACTAAAAGTCACAGTTGCGGTTATGATTTAAGGAGTCTGAGTGCTAACCCACAAGAGTTCTACCAATACCCAACCAATGCCTGCCCCTCTGCTGCGAATGTGATACAGAATTTAGTTTCCTCGCTTTCTGTCTACAATGGATAGCAATAGCTCTGAACGTGGAGGTGGCATAACTCCAGTGTCTGCAGTCCATCATTGCCATTCAAAACAGTTTCTTCACACAGGTGGGCAAGGTTTTGGCATTGGTAGAGTCCTGTTGTTGTTTTTTGTTTATTTGTTTGTTTTTATTAAAATAATTGCTATAAAATAACTTTGGGATACCTAACTAGCTTAATAGCCACCACAATAAGCTTTGATAGTTATGGTGCGTAGATAAAACCTTATGTTGGCAATCATATCTGCTTCTCACTCGGTCGCCTGCAATTATCACGAGACAAAGTGCATAAATTGTAGGCAAAGCATTTTGTTTACTTTGCCTTGGGTGTTTCAGTGCACTGCAAATAGAATAATATCAAAATCTAGGTTATGAAAACAAATACATTTAACAAACAGAATATGAAACCCTGCTATTAATATTTATATATAAAAAAAAAAAAAAAAAACACCACGCCACTATAAAATTAAGATCCAAGATATAAGCTATGGACTCAGGTGAACATACTTGACCCAGGACATACATGAAAACGAGATAAATCTCAATATATCCTTCCTGGTAATATATTTTATAAATAAATAAAATGGTAAAGGATCACTAAGGTCACCTAGTCCACTTCAACTCAATGAAGTGGTCTGGAAGCAGTGAAGCTGTAGTTTTACCATGCAATGTATAACGAGTTTTGTGAGACAGCCATGGTTACATTGGAGGGGTAAATACAACACTAGTGTTGTCACGACGACAGACACTAGAGGCTCTTCCTCTACAACGACCAAGTAAAACTCTCTTATGTGACCAAACGCAGCTCATTTGGCAGCGCTCACCAGGCATGTCAATCAGTCCCCAATGTTATTCTATGAGGAGTACTGAATTGGACCATCGGCTAGGGAGCCGAATGAAGTTGTGTTGGGAAGCGCAGGCAACAATTCCCAAGGAGTCTCAGTGCTGGATAAAAAAAACTAAAAACAAAACCTAAGATGTTAGTATCTATGTGCATCTTGTTGCTATAAGTGCTAACTGTCACTATTTAGTAGATATACCCCCAAGCATTTTTCATGGATGTATATCTTCTTATGAACTGCAGGCTTTCCAATCCCTGTCCTTTTTCTTTCCAAATAGACTTTCAGTCTCTTTGTGGATATTTAACTTCAACGAGAAGCCTCTGAAGTTATCCCTCAATGCACAAAATATGTATTCCTAACTCTATAGTGCCCTAGTGCAAGTTTACCTTTTTCCCTTGCTGCTCTGGTCTCCTCAGTGAAGCCGAACTGGAAGCAGAATTGTCTTAGAGAATTTTCCAGTTCAGCTATTTTGAGCTTAAACTTGAAATTCGCTTTAAATTCACTCTGAATACCTGACAATTCTCAGTTTAGTAAATAAACCCAGAAAGACGCCTGGGTACTTAACTCCTCCTCAGCCAGCTTAGGCTTCAATCTGTTCAGATGAAGGATAAACACTTCACCTCAGGATCCACAAACATTATTAATGGAGCAAAAGTCCACGCGAGGATACATTTTGTTCTAATGAGTTATTTAATCACTTAATAAGTACAGTGCCAGTATGAGTTTGCACCTGTTATGTTGGAGACCCACAACATACACATTTAACATAATTAAAACAAAACTACTTCTGGACTGGAGATTGTTTTATTTTTGACCTAGGGCAAACCACCACCACACAAGTTTTTAAATTAGCCCTTTGGAAAAACCTATAAAAAGGAAAATAGGTAAACCAAATCTACCACATCTCCAGATGCCATCACACAGTGTATACATCTGTGTGCTTGTATCTTACCCCATTTATAGATTTTGAAAAATTTAATTTCTGAAAATGTTGCAACATGTCAAAATATATATATATATTTTTTTAGTAGGTTCAAACAGAACATAACCAGGACTGTATTCAGCCTAATAAAATAATCTAAAAAGAGAAAGGGTTATTGAGATAGTGACCCTTCTCTTAATACATTTTGGTGGGTTTTTCAAATTGTACAAAGAGATGCCATTTTTGTCCTGCTCATTGTTTATTTCCTCTACAGATAAACCTTTCAATGAGAAAAGCTTTACAGATAATACACAGCCATTATGTATATAATTTGTATTTTATAGAAGAATGCTCATTTAGGGAGGTATGTATGATGCTGATCCTAGATCTTCCTCACTGACCGAATGACACTTTTCCTGTAGGAGCGTGCGAGGGAGAGAGGAGGACTAGGGAAATTGATTGTTCGTCCCGCGAGCTGGGCAGTTCAGAGCACTGTCACATTACCACAGCAACTCTTTGACATTGTGTATTGCTGAGCTCACAAGAGGATGAACTCCGTCTACAGCCGGAGGAGCTTCTAGAGTCACTCACCACCCAATGTTGCCGTTACGTGGCAAAGGGTAAGCAAAAGAAAGTAAGATATTAAGTTTAAAACAAAAAATAAGTACAGGGCCTTTTTCTCATGCAAGAGCTATTTAGCAGGGCTTTGAGCATTGGCTGCCCTGAAAGAGCATTGAATCGACATTTTCACTTCAAGGGGACGTGCTGGTCATTGGTGGTGACACAACATCCCCATCTCTGGTCCTGCCTCCTTCCCACTAGGCTGCTGTGAATAAAAAAATGCCTGGGCCGAATTTTTACCAATTCGGCCAGGATGTGAATTATCAGGAATTTAAAGCAAATTTCAGGTTCCAGGCCAGAGTATCAGATTTTGGAAAAATCTTCAAGTCTCCAATGCTTTCAGTTTATTTACTTTGGCATAAAATTTGAGATTCACACTTTAGTGAATAACAGTGTTAGTGTGCCATTTAAGGTCACACTATGAGCATTTATGCATCACCAGTGGACTTTCCTCCATTTTCTGTGTTCAGCTCTGAATTAGATTGTCTTTATGTATCATCACTAATACAAGCATATCCACAATCAAAATAAGTTTTGATAATCGAAGTCACACAGCACCCTAAAAATGCACACCTCATATAACTCAAGAGTCTGTTTTACTTAAAAGCATGATAGCTCCTTCAACAATCAACCAGAGACAGCAAGACGTTACTGTAGACTTTTTAGAACCTTTGGCATGTTATCACACTCCGACAGCAGATTGTAGAAGTCAATAAACGTATCTTCGTAGCCGTTCTGTGTGCAGTTTTAGGGATTGCATTTGACTGATAGAACATCAAAGTAGCAAAACAATACCAGATGAGGGTAATTAATAGCAAAATTAGAGCATAATAAACAAAGAAAATATGCTTGCTCGGTTATGAGAGACAAATGGTAATTGATCTATCTTATCACAGAGAGGATCAGCTGGCCTTGTCAATCTGATTTTAGGATGAATCCATAGGCCTGTGTGTTGTCATGAATAGCATTCAATTGAGTGTTTAATTAGCTTCAATAAAGAAAGCATGTGATAAGTATTATTTCGTGACATGGATAAATTCCAAATTTTAATTAGATTTGGGGCAATGGATACCAATCTCTGTCACAAGTTCTGACCACTTTGATGTTGGGAGGAATGTAAAGATATGTATTTGGGGCATAGGACAAACACTCTGTTGTCCAGAGATTGGCAAGCACATACATCATCTAGGCCTTCTGCTCCAATTAGATACCCTCCACCACACAGAAATTAAAAACTAAACCGTATAATTGAACAGCACAACTCTATCCAATACAATGTGGGGTAGGGGTAAATTTGAAGGCCAAAATATATATTTTTTCATATTACAATGTATATATTCTTTTAATCTGGGCTTACAATTTCAATACAGACGCTACTAGCCAGGTCTTAAAGGAAATCTGTACACAGAGGAGCATTGAGAAACGTAGGTGCATGCGCGGCACTCACCACGATGCATCTACAGTTAGAGAAACATTGAATACAATTATTCTCTAAGGCCGACCATGACGTACTGTGCGTGACTTCATGATATGGGAGCATGGAAGTAAGATTCCTTGTTTATCATACCCAGAGGGCTTGGAAGCATGTCATGAAGATATGCTTCCATGCCTTTTTTTAGTTTAATATTGGGTTTTGGGAGATAGGACTAGGGGTGGGGACAGGATTGCAGGCACTATGACAACTTCAATAAGATGAAAAAAGAAAAAAGGAAAATACAAAGATAGCAATATTTGTTGTATTTTGTAAATTATATTTCTGTGATCTGAAGTCTGAAGAATCGTTTGGCTATATTTAAGATTAGGCTCATGAACATTTTTTATCGTCCCATCCCAGCAATGGAAATAGAGCAAGTGCATGTATGAATGTCTAATAACAGAAGACTACATTGCGGCAAATGAACCCTATAGTTTGAGACATAAATTACCAGTCACTAAAACATATTCAATCAATATTTAACATATTTCAAAATGACAAGTAACTCCAGAGGAAAGCACAAAAAATTACTTTTACTTTAAACCTATTATCACTGTATATTATATAAATACCAACATTTTTATGCAGTATATAAAACCACGAATAATTGACATACAGATGAGAAAAATATATATATTTTAATTTCAACTATTTTTGCCTTAAATTTAAAATTTGCTTTGAATTCCTGACCATTCCAACTTTAGTAAATAAACCTGTATGTTACTTTGTATTAAAGGAAACTGGTTTCCTAGCTTACACCACTCCTACTCAGATGAGCTGTACAACTTAGAATTCTGCCAGACATAAATCCTATAAACGATGTATTAAATCACTCTCATTGTCTAACAGAAATTGTGGTGTGAAATTGCCATGCTTATCCGTGACTTCTAAGGCCGCAGCTGAATGTATTCCCACATCACAGACGTAGGAATGTCAGAAGATGCCTGGCATGATCTTGGCATGCTAGTGGGGACTTGGCTATGAAGCAGATACTCAAGAAGGAGGCACATATGATCAGTGAGGATCCTCAGTACCAGGCTGGAGTGGGAGGCCCTGGCCCAACCATGAGGTGCATTATTTTTCCCTATATGAGCCCTAACACCCCCTTAGTCAACCTAAACTACTTAGTGCCTTTGATTCCTTTGTCTGCTGGCCTACTCTTTGGCTCAGAACTATTGCTGTCTGGAATGACCTTGCACTTGGGTTGCATCGTTTAATTATTAGCTTTGGACTGTAGCCATTGTCTTCTGAGTCTCAACTTCCCGACGGGGGCTGGAATTTCCATGAGGCAGAGTCCATCATGACTGCATACCGACACATCTTACTCGATGTGCAAATAGCTACAGATTCTTAATGATTCTTCTTGGACAATTGTTCTCCACCTTTCATTCCACCGAGGGCCTCGCAGCCCGAATTATAAGCTATATTTCAAATTATCCCTGCAAAATAGATTTTCAGACCTCAACTACCAACAAAGTTTCAACTTTGTAAAGTCAACTGCGGTAAATATCTAACATGATCTAGAGGACATATCTGGAAATCGCTTATTTGCCTATGACAGCACAAACAGGTATAATATATGTATTAGGTATGGTCTTGCCTCTTAGCCCATGTACCAAACTCTGCATTATCAGATAAGAATGCTATTGTGAAGACAAAAATTAAAAATAGTTTGAAGCGCTGAGAAAGGCAGAAATGGCTCCAACAGAGAATATTTCACAATAAATGTAAACCCTGTATTTACATCATATGCCAGGCAGTCCTGCCATGACAAGGCACACAGGGTTTTATCAGGCCATGCACACAGGCTCCATGAGGTTGTACGTACAGATAAATGCAACACTTTCCAATAAGATGCCGGAGTACACATGAGTGGTCCAGATCATGTGTGCTGTGGAGTTATATGTGTGCCTCCCCTGCACTGCTTATACCAGTAAATACTCTATTAACATTAGAGGAATGGAACCAGGGGCGTACATACCGTGTTCGCAGGGGTCGCAGCTTGACCGGGCCCGCCACTCCAGGGGGCCCGGCTGCCCTGCGGACCCCTGTGACCAGGTATCCGCCGCCATCATCTTCTGCGGCCCTGGCCTGCGCGGCAAACCGCCGGGTCCGCCGTCCGAGCAGTCCATCGGGTGGCCCATGCTGTCAGGGCCACCCGATGGATATGGATTGTCAGGGGGCCCGGTCAGCGCTGGGCGCTTTAACAGCGCGACCGGGCCCCCCGTGATGATATCACAAGCTGGGAGGAAGTGACCGCACGTCACTCCTCCCAGCTAACACTGAGAGCCGTGCGGGAGGAAGCAGAGGGAGTCAGACTAGGAACTCTGACTCCAATCCACCTGAGCCACCACTGGACCCCAGGGAAAGTCACCCTCCTGCACAAAAAGGTAGGAAACGGGAGGGTGACAAACATTTTGTGTGTGTGTGTGTGTGTTTGTATGCATGTCTGTCTGTCTGTATGTGTGTCTGCCTATTTGTATGTATGTCTTTGTATGTATGTGTGTGTGCCTGTCTGTGTATGTATGTGTGTCTGTGTGTGTGTGTGCTTGTCTGTTTGTATGTCTGCCTGTGTGTATGTGTGCCTGTCTGTTTTCATTTTCGCACCGGGGCCCCATGGTTTGTGTGTACGCCATTAAATGGAACTCTGAAAAGGAAAGAAAAATCTAAATTCCTAAATGTAGCACTGCCCCTAGAGAATACAGAAACTCAAACGAGACCACTCATCATCACGTAATAGATGGGCAGAAAAGACCTCCATAGTTTATGGAGGGTTGGGGAGGAGGGGTGCACAGAAGGAGGTAACAGTAACGCTTTCCCTTGCAGGTGCGCTTTCCAAGAGTGAAGCTTATTAGGTCTGTTGCCAGCGTTAGGACGACAGACATATTTTTTGCACAGAACGGACATTAGGCAGCCTGGAACAGAAATGAAGTCCCGTGTTCTGGGGGTGCAACGAGCCTCCGGCACAAAATTGCAAATATCTCTGAATGTGCAGCATTTCAAGCAGAAACGCTGCACACACAGATTCCTAGCACCATGAGCACTTCTAAAAACAGGGGGATGGTGTAACCCTTTAAACTCTTAAGGACCAAACTTCTGGAATAAAAGGGAATCATGACATGTCACACATGTCATGTGTCCTTAAGGGGTTAATTAGCCATGAACCAAACAATCCTAAAAACAAAAAAAAACAAATAATCAGATTTTTAAAGGATGAAACGTAACTCTGCAGCATTTTGCTAAAAGAAAAATAAAGTTACTTTGTGAGCACATACATATCAGTCGTATAGATTATATTAAAACAGGATTGTTAGAAGTTGTCTATTCGATGTAAAGACCTAGAAGAAATTTACATTTGAAAATAAAAGTGTTCAAGGAAGAAAAAAATAATAATTTTGATAATCAGAAGTCGATTTATTCATTTCCCTTTTATTTGCCAAATTCCATCTCACAGCAATACCATTCCCGTATGTGTTGACATTGTACATGGCAGACAACACAGCTTTATTCACACTATGATTCAGGAAATTAAAATGTAGGATACACAAACAAAAAGAGTGCGGAGATAATAAGGTATAGCACTGGTTTGAAACATGAGTCATACACAGGCACAGGTGTCTATGCATTTGCAGTTTGAGATCAAACACACTAACCAGGATTAGGGCTGTGTACCTGGAGGCACATGGGCGGCAGACAGTCATAATGAACCTGAAACATCATAGATTGTAATTGAAGAGAAAATACCCCTGGATGGAACAAAAAAACTTAAAAGATTACGTTAAGAAATGTGACAGGTTTTTCCTATCAGTCATTCTTAAAGGACCACTAAAGTCACCTAAACCACATCATCTTAATGACATGGTCTGGGAGCAGAGGTCCCATCATTTTAACCCTTCAATGTAAAAAATTGGTCTTTTGTACAAAATTAGCATTTCATTAGAGAAGCACTGCGCTAGGCCACACATGTGCATTTCCAATCCATTGCTTCACTATGAGAACCATTGGATTGGAGCAGTTTACCGAAATTATAAGCAGGCGTGCGACAGTCTTCGAAGGTAGAGCAGGCAGCTGCAGCGGATTTCCAGCTTTGGAGATAAGTAATTGTTAGTTCATTTTTAATTCATGTATTTATTTTAAATAGCAAAGGGGGTGGAAAAAGGGGGTAGACAAAAGAAAACCTATGGTCCAAAAAAAAATCAAATGTTATTTTGAGGACTATAGGTTCTCTTTAAATATTAAGATAAAATGTATATAGTTTTATCCTGTATAGATTAATTCACCCTAGATGGAGCTATTGGGACTGAGGCCTTTTCTCCTTCTGCCAAGGCATAGTGAATTCTATTTCACATTCCATGCAAGTATCGCTACCTGAGAACAGGCAAGATCCTCTGCAGTGCCAGTATTAAAATTTCCTGTCCTAGGATCAGTAACCGTGAAGATCCTGCTATAATTACCTAAATAAGAAGGAGCAGGAGATGAAGAGGACAGCTGGGCACAAATATGTCATGATATCTTGATGCAAAATGGAATATTGAAGCCTGGGGATTTTTGTTCATTATATTCCTATGAGACTATGCAAGGCTGACTGCAGGAGCTCTAGAATAACTAGTGCGCAAATCACAAGGCATGCCTCTTTGTGCGCTGTGAAATAGAAACATACAGCTTTCTTTAATCCATCGAGAGCCCATTATAAATAAATTGAGGCGGAGGAGGCTCTCTCATGTACTGCAGGGAGAAAGATAGGAAACTTTATAAAAATTAATTTATACATTTGGAAGTCGTAGCTTCATTTAACGAAATTTCAATATTTTGAGAAAAGCAAAAAAGTATGTAAAATAAAAGCAAGATATGGCAATATTACCTAAAAAGATTTGTCAGACATTGATATTTATTGATTATATTGACTGACTGGTATTTTTTCCTCCGAATACCTTTTGACACTATATATTTTTTCCCCATCTTTTCAGAACTGGCAAATTAAGAAAGCAATGTAGATAAAGAAATACATTACTACTTCTGTAGTGTTAGGTCCAGAAATAAGCCTTCTGCCGTTTATTTATATACAAATGCACCCCATCACCTCAAACCCCACTGATATAAACAAGAAAGTAAAGTAATACGTAGTGAAGATTTTGTTAATGTTCTGTTTAGTTTATAAACTGGTTTTCTAGAAGGAATACTTTGAGACATATTTTCATATATGTCCTGGAGGGCAAGGATGTAGTTACACGTTCCATGTTACTTAAAGGTTAAGGGCTAGAGATTTATAAAATATACACCAATATAATCAGTTTGTGAACAACTTCTCCACACCTGCTCTATCCTAAAAATTTCAATTCATTAGTCAACGCTCGACAAATCGCTGTTTAGTGACTAAAACACTGAGACTTTCGCTGACCTTTAAAAACCGTGTGAGCTATATGTAACTAGTAGACCATGTGCCTTCAAATAAAGGTGGTTACGCAGAAGTCTTGCTTCTTTAAATAGTAGAGCTATTTTTAGCAAATTAAATGTTCTGGGAGCAGAAGAAAGTGACCTGACAATCTCTCAAAGTCAGGCATAAACGTCTGCATGCTAAAAATAAATGTGTATAATCTTGGGTTTATTTAAGTACAACATGGATAGAAAATTATGTTTACAATCTTTACTTGAAAAGTTAAATCTTTACATATTTTGTATTTTTTTTTAAACATCACATCAGTAATAGGAAGTTGAGATATTCCTGCTGCTCCATGAACTTAATGTGCAGAGATTCTAAACTGGAAATATACTGTACTATAATCCCCTTTTTACTTGTAATACATCTAGCAACATCTCACAAATGTAATGTAACTTGTAACACATACTAAAACCCAACAGTACAGCTGGAAAAGGATTCTGGGAAATGTATTCTAATAATAGCGGTCAGGCCAAGGAAAGACACCTGTGTTCCAAGTAAGAATGCTTAAATGCTCACGTGGTAACGAAGGATAAAAAGTTTGAGGTTCACTACGCTTCTATCCCTGACATTTGGGAGTGTACTAATGATTTTAATTATTTTTCCATGTTATGTAGTATTTCCAATCTCCATGTGTATTAACAACCTCAAAATAAATACATATGCGAACACATTTAGTTGCCCAGATTATGCCATCATCTACTGCACAATGACTGCATATGTACAAGGCTCAATTTGCGTTTTTTGTTAAAGAAGAATACCTACAGCAAAGCTTGCAAGGATGAACTATAAACCAGTTAATCACAGGCTTAGCATTTCTCTGATTGCATTTTTTTTTTTTGCAAATTCATTTTTCTTGCCAAAATAGCAAGCTTTTTATTTGGCCATGACAGACCAAGTTAGAAGCGTGAATGGATTTGCACTGTAGCATACTTGAAGGGAAACCATCACCTGAACATTTAAGAGACACGCCAGACACCTAAAGCATTCCAGCCTATTGCATGCTCTCCTTGCCCCCAAATCATAAAATCACCAATTTCAAAGTTTATGAATTAATTTTAAAACACACCCTGGCAGTCAACCTGATGGATATTCTGGTTCAATCAATATGAACAGTTGTTGAAGAGGAACTTAGAGTTTCCAAAAGGAAGCCTTAGGTTAATATGTTCCTATTAGAAGAATTCTATTAGGAAATCGACGTATTTGATTGGCCAATTCACATCAATTGACACTTACTTGCCAATTTTGTGCAGGTGGCGAAGGAAATAATCGTCACTAACAGCCTTGCAGGGGTGGAGTGTGGCTGCAGAAAAAGAGGACTCACCACTGGAAAAGGTAAGTTAACTTTATTAACTTTATTGAGTTATTTTTGGTGTATGCGGGGAGCCTGCATTCACAGGGTTAAAGGAATACTTCAAATATTAACACGAAATATAGCTCAGTTTTTAACATAGACGTGTTCCTTTAAGGAAATCCAAACAATAGTCTTTCTAACATAAGGTCTACATTTCCATTTCAACAATTAAATGAAAGATCAATTTAGTTTTTTTTCCCTTCACTTGGGCAGGTGTCTGACATTCCTAAAAAAAAATATTAACAATAATAACAATAATATCAACTCACAGAGAACAGTGGATTCGTTTCAAATACATTTCACTATTTCCACCAACAGGAAGCTGTAACCTAATACACGATTAGCACAGAAATTGAAGATTCATTATTTATCCATGAGTTACCTCGTCAGCTCTCAAGTGGGAAGGGAGGAAATAAGCCACACATGCAAATTATGATGCAGCAATTCTAGAGTGAGGAAATGATACATTATTTATGGGGATTAATAGGCAACTAGGGATAAATATTCTCTTATCCACATATTTCAAACATTTTTCGCACATTGAGAGATTTCTAGAAAAATGGTTCAGAAAAGGATAATATTTGAATTATTTTTTTAAACATTTTTCAAAGCACCATAAACAATTTTGCACAACTGGGAAGATAATAGTGCTAATAGTACTCTGTAAAAAATTGCTACATCTATGAGAGATTCCACCGGAGCTGTCAGTCAGACACACAGAATGCTCACTTCCAGGCTGCCCGATTAGTTATGTCCAAACTCTCAATGCAGTATATATGCATTAAATATCTATATCATGCATTCAAAATTGGGGGTTATTGTTTTACAGCATGTTTACACATTCTTTCAAAAAACAAAAAAAAAACAAGCTGTTAACAGAAAAGCGTTCTGTAGTAGTTATGGTGTGCCACAGTGGTTATAGTGCCAGGAGCTCCCTGGCATCCCCACGCTATTGTAAGTAATCAAATGGTTTTAGAACGGTTTGACTTCTTAACTGGGGTCTATGGGCACTGATTCCCTACTTCTTAGGAAGATTGCTCTCAGCCAATGACATCAAGGCTGATCTCAGCTGAGAAGACAGGGTAACAGTGGCGAGGACACTGCGCCGCTGGATATAAAATCTATGGTTTCCTATTAACCATTGGGAGTGCGCAAACATCTAAATAATGATGAGAATACTACAGAGTTAGGAATACATGTTTGTGTTCCTTTAAATTGAGCAAACACACAGAAAATATAACACATACACATACTGTCATTTTATACACATCTATTTTAACCCTTTCTGGGGCAATTGAATAATGGACATCTGCTTGAATTTGAAGTGTTAAAGTGTAGGTGGTACATTCACAAAAAGTTTTGGATTCTGTTCTAAAAATATATTTTGCCAAGAAAAAGCTTTCCCTTATGTGGTCTAGTGCATGAATGAAGGTAGGGAAGGTCGCGGGTTGAAGGCAAAAAAAATAAAAAATCCTGACAATGCCTCATTATTATCCTCTTTCATAGCCGAAAGTCTGTTCAGCATTCCAATGCTCAGCACGCCCATCTGACATCTAAAAATCACAACAGCTTTTCTTTTCACTACAAAAGTCACAAAAGGAAATCTTTAGCAAACGATTGTTACCTGGTACTTAACATTTAGAGTGAGAAGGAAAAAAAAAAAAAAAAAAATAGTAACTGCACTAAAATCAATCATTATTGTATACCTGGCCATTCTAAGTTACTTGGCAAAGGCTGCTTGGTCAGAGATTTTCAAACTAAAATAGTAAATTATGGATCAGAAAAAGGTCACACGGATATTATTTTGTGCACTATTTGATAAAGGAGTCCTATAAATGGCCACTAAAGAACACCTAAACTGCGATATGTCATGTTATCACTTTATAGATCACATTATGTTACAGATATATTGTAATAACAAAACATAAAAGTACAGTACATTTACTTTTTTTCTTTTGCAGGCTCAACAGTAAAATATACAAATATTGTTCACATAAAACAAATGTGTGCACCCGTTACTATTCACAATAGGAATCTTATGAGTAAGGAATGCGAAGTACCGAAACGTGTAAGGTTTCTACATGGTTCTTCCTATGTGCCGGTCTCCTAAATGCCAATAAAGCTTTTTATTTCTTAAGATCACGGTGTCACATGCATTTTTTCAAATATGTTTCAGGTATTTTTTATGACCTCTTCATTTGGCATCTCTCACGAACGTTCGGTAAGTCGTCCTTAAAATTTATTATATGAGAATATGGTGCACACTATGAGCCAATTTTATTGTTTTTGACTTTCTTAAGTAACCTTTTGCCCAGAAAAACTCTCTGTATGTACCAAGAAGTAGGAAGATAAGAAGCCATACTCCAGGCCTTCCATAGAAGTAATAGGCCTACTGGCTCTACATTGTTTTAAAATTTTATTTCTTTAATGGTGCTGGAGAGACTCAATCTTGTTTCTCACTATGAGGGAGCCGATCAGGTCTCCAATCACATGCTGGGGTCTGATATATCCCAGCATGCATTACTTTAAACTTTTTCATTTCATTTTTAGAGAAAAGCTTAGCATCTGGACAATATATCTGGTCTCACAAGGCATAATAGTTAGGATTACATAAAAAAATAAAATAAAAAATAAACTTTTACATCCCTAACTTTTACTATTAGCATTGCACTAAAGTTACATTATTTAATAAATAGCATTTTGGGGTGCAATTTTCCATCAATGACAAGTTTCAACATATAGGGCGATAGTAAATAAGACTTATATCCAAGGGAAACATTGTTTGAACTGGTAATTACTCTGTACACAGAAAGCCAATTACTGCATAATATAGTAAGAAGCTAAGTAGAACTAATCATGACCACAGTCTTCGCATCTAGAATCAGAGAGAAGCACCTGCAATGTACAAGTCAACGACAAAAACTGCTAAAATAAAAGGTGAACTAATTGGCCTAGCCTCTTTTTATTTGGTGAATAAGAGTAAATGTCAATGTGGTCTGTATTCAAAGAATACAAAAGGTACACAAAGTAAAACACACATTAAAAGGAACATTCTAGAGTTAGGAATGCAAACGTATTTCAAATTCTAAAGTGTTATTCTACATATTTAGATTATTAGCCTCCATCTTAATTAAATTAAATAAAAGCAGGCTACTTTTTTTTATATACCCGGCACTCTAAGCTCACAGCAGTTGCCCCTTCTCTGCTGGCTGGTCACTGGAGGATATAATGTAGTAAAATACTTTATCTAACTTAATTAAGGGTTACCTGATAATCTAAACCTTTGGTGTAACAGAAAAGGCAATGCGCACACTGCTGAGTCTGCAACCGCAGTCTTATTGCCCCAGTACCGCTACATTAATATGTAGTGCTTCTGGAGCGTCAAGTTTCCATGAAAGAAATACAAATATGTTCTCAAATGATGTGCTTGGTTTTCATTTTACAGTCTAATGTGAGTGATACAGTCTAATGTGAGTGATACTGAGAATAGCTAAACACGCACTTTTTGCTTTAATTTCTATATGGAAATTCCCACTCAAAGCAGAATTTTTTTCTTTTCATGTGTTTTTACCCTCTAATTTGGCATTTTAACTTGGTGGATTTAAAAAGATCAAGGTGGCATAATTCTGCAAAAACTCAGACTAAGGTCGCAAAGTAATATTGTTAGATAAGGGTTTCAAATGTTTTAAGATTTTAAAAACTTTTTAAATATATTTATTGTTTTTTTCAATATGGCATATTTATTTTGATATTTAAATATTTAGAAAAATCATTTGAAGATTCCCACTATGCTTCATCTGTACAAATATACATTAATATCTAATATGTCAATATTTTAGTTTTTTGTTTGTTTGCGCGCACACACAGAACCCAGAGACAATATCAGGGGTAGTGATTTGTAAGTTTTAATTTCTATTAAGATGACTTTAAATTAAATGATACTTTTTTTTTAATACAAGATTATTTATTACACCAGGAGTTGGCTAAGGAATTAAATGAACTTAAGGCAACAAAGAAAATCTCCAGGCACTCGCGGTGTTCAAGTTTTAATAGAACAAAAAACAGCAGCAACGTTTCGACCTACTAAGAGGTCTTTGTCAGCGATTTAAACTCAGACAATGAATAAAAAAATAAAATAAGATTTCTTTCCATTTAACTTCCAGGTTACTGGATAATTCTAATAAGTAAAAAAAAAAAAAAAGAACATATATAAAAAAGGCAAACTATTGGATTTAGAAGAAGAAAAATTAAAGAAACCAAACACATAAACCAGAATAAATAGTTTTCAAAGTTTCTTTTCTAAGCTTTATATGACATATACGATTGTGAGGATACAAGTTTTACATTCAACCAAAAAGCAAATAAACAAAAACATTGAAATGCAGTAAAGTTTTGAACACTAAAAAACACGCTTGCCCTCCCTAGTGGCCGTTCAAGGCAAACTCTGGGCTTTCTGGGTAATACTGGTTAAGTAGATTTTTCTAGTTTAGAGATTCAGACACACACACACAGCAAAACACTCAGCTCCCGCAATTGTTTTTTCTTTTTTGTAATGTTATTAAAACAAATTAATGAAAGAAAACCTCAAACGGGTACAATGAAACAGTTTGCCGAGTGAATGTGAGAAACTGAATTTTGAACGCAGTCCAGGTAATGCAAGTAGGATATAGACAAACCAAATAGCGGGTATTAATAGAATAGTGCAAGCACCATGACCACTCCATTAATTTGAAGCTGTCGTGGCGCCTGAAGCCTGTATATGCATCAAGGGAGAGTGATGTCCAGCAAGGAGTATCAGACTGCAAGTAGAATGTGGACTCGGTGATGGAACGGCAATGAGGGCAGACTACCTTTAAAGAGGACTTTCCCTTTATTACTTCACCAATAACCAGTACATAAAAAGTGAGTTTTTGGTCTTTTCTCTGGAAAAAAAAAGGTAATTCCACTAGTTCAAGAATGTTATAGGAGGAGTTTTCCCAATTATTGGAGTTTGGAGTTTGACAGACAATCCATGAACTGCTAAAGCCACGTAAGCAGTCATTTGTTTTCTACTTTAGCCAGTTAAGTTTCCCTTTGTTGGGGCAGTGTTAGCGAGTTTATGTATTAAGCCATTGGCAGTTCACCTTTGCTCCCTGTGGTTGATGGATATTTATATATTTTTCTATATTAATGACAAAATACATAGGTGGAAAATGTACTGAAGCAGTTTTTTCAACGCTTCAAAATTCTACCATTCTACTGGGATAAGGGATACTATTCCTCTCTAACAAAGTGTTTCTTTCCCCTTCTAGTAAGTCACTTTACTAATACTATGCTACATGGGGTACAGAACACTACCAAGTGTCCTCTTTTAGTGCTAAAAGCAAGTGTACTCTTTTAGTCCTAAAAGCAATTTGTAGACCTGTTTATAAAATAAATAAAAAAGTAAGTAATGTAAAGAAAAAGTAAAAATAAAAAAGTTCCACACAAATCACAAACTCTTTGTTCTTCACGTACAGAAAGTCTCTATTCACCAAGAACCACCAGCGACCACATGAGGCAACCTCCTAAGGGAGGAGGTGGATGTGGTACTTTTGGGGGTACAGTAAAAAGCAGTAGTTTTTCCTGCTATGCATTCTGATTAAACATAATAAAATGTGCACTTACTTAAGCCTGTAACAAAGGCCTACAATACAGTGTGAACAATGGATAAACCATATTAAATTGTATACAAAAAAAAGGTGTTGTAATCATCTCAAGTTCACTTGGTGCCATCTTTGTTTACAGTCCTCTGCAAATTTGCATTTTGCCAAAAACACTAATTCTTTCACCAGATTAAGGTCCATTTAATTGAGGTTCTATTAAAATAAAATGTCAATTTGAGGTAACCACGTATCTCTTGAAACTGCCACAAAACCATTAAACCACTCAAGATGTAGGTGTTGTCCAACTTTCTATTGTGTAGTATTTAACAAGTGGTCAGCACATTGTACCATAACCTTAGCAGAGTCCCACTTGCTAAGGAATTGTAGGGTAATGGTGGTGAGTTTAGATTTCAAAACATTAATCTGTAAAGAAGATTCACAAGTTCATGGCCTCTTATTCAGACAGTGAGTTTAGTTTCCAAAACATTACTCTGTAGAGATAATTCACAAGTTCATGGCCTTCTACGTAAGAATCCTAGAACTGGGAACACCTGGTGGCTGCCAATAGCAGTTCTGTAACTCAGCAAATGAAACACTTTATTAACAAATGGCAGTTAAATATTATCCACAGTGCAATTAGTACAGCAGAATGACATGCAGTGTGAATTGCATAACTATAAAAGGGATAAGTATTCAGACATGGCAAGTTTTAGAATATGAGAATTTTGACAGTAGGATTATATAGTTTATGAAATATTCATAAGAAAGCTGCAGGCTTGAAGAATTTCATAAACACTGCATTAATGGTACATTAAAACAATTCACTGTGAAACTTAAGGCACAAAACTATACAAGACTTGGTAAAAAATCGAAAGCCTTTAGCAAAACAATGACAATTGTGATGAAATAAAAATGAAATTCTGTAGAAGAGAGATGAATGTGGTATAAATAGACATATACATCTATATAATTGTATTTACTTTTCCATGTGTGTATAAATATACACACACATACACACGGGTATATGATATATAGCTCTCTCATACACTCTTGGGATATCCAATTAAATTGTTGCCAAACACAATCCACTTTATTATTAAACACAAACTGAAATGGTTATTGGGTTTCAGTGAGCAGGATGTTTAAACCCCATCCCGCCACATAAGTAAATTTAAAACTCAAAAATAAAACACACTAATAGAAATGTCAATACAAAATTCCAATGGAATGAAGTTTATCCAACACAGATAATACTAGATTTAAGAACCCAGAACTCAGCTACGAGAGTTACAATTGAAGGAATTGGATGGTAATTAAGACTATGCAAACTATCAGCAATGTATTTATTAAGCATCAACACATTCTGCAACAATACACAGTGGTCACAAAACAGACAAACTTGCTAAACCATAACCGTAAAGAGGCTATGAGGGCCAGGTTCACACAAGTCTAAGGAAAGTTCAATTTTACCACACTCAATCAATAGTGCAAAACAGTGTGATAGTTATTTTAAACACTTACTTGTAAGTGAGGAAAAAATGCCTATAATTAAAAATTGGGATAACCACACTCTCTAAAAGATTGGTTAACGCTCCAAAATCAAGCAATATAAAAGGTTGGTGCTATTAAAATCAAATAAAAAATATACTCGCATTACCAATTCCAGTAGGGAAGGGACAAAATACTCTTCTAATAATAAGACCTTTGTGATAGAAAAAAAACCAACAACAACAAAAAACTATGGAATAATGAAAGAGAAATATTACATAAAAAATATACTGTTGGGCAATCAAACAGGTTTTCTAAATAAACGATTCCGAGGACTTAGTATGCCCAATATTTCAGGTGCAAATACATCCACAATCTGGGGACGGTCACAGGATGGTATAAATGTTCAACATACCAAATGTTCAATATATGTTTGCTTTTTTCATTCTTTTCTACTAGATGTAATCATCATGCATAATAAGTGTGTCAGCTGAACAATTAGGAAAATATAATAAAAAAAAAAGTTTTTTTTTTAAAAAAAGTGAATCCTACTACTTATATTAAGTATATGTAAGATGAAAGTCCAACCAACTTACATGAACGACACAGCCACTAAAACCACCTCAATGAGCCAGAGCAACATCATTATAACAAACTGTAACTGTTTATTTGTCATTCAGGGAAGGAACAAATACACAGATAAAAAAAAAAATAAAAAAAAAATAAGGCAGAGCATCACAAAAAACACTGAGCAAAACATATCAACAAATTAAAATAAAAAATAAAAAAGCCTGCGATGAACTTTAGGTGTGATAAATGGTTCATAGAAAAAGGGTAAAAATACATTACATGCATTAAATATCATGGGTAGAAAAAGATAAAGTAATTAATAACATATAAACTGACGAGACTGACGTTCCTTCGGAACTATAGAAACTATGTCCACTTGCAACCCAGTCAATCAACAGTAAATCTGGAATAGAACTTTGATAGTCTGCCCTTCTTCCCTCTACAATAACTGTGTTTATGCTGTACTTTGTCATTTCAAGCTCAATAAAAAAAAAAAAAAAAACATTTCTAACTGCAGATCAATATTTTTTTTTTCTACAGATTTATAATTTCATTAATGCAGTAAATTTACAATCGGCTTGATTTTTCAAACGTTGTACCTGCCAACATGACCAAATGTACTGCAAATAAAATTGAATATAAAAGATTACTTGAATGAATATTTTAAATTATCAGTGTTGTCTGTTGGCAGGAAGGTTTGTTTTAGGGAAATAAATTTCACAAAAAATAAATAAAAAAAAAATGTTAAAAAATGAAGATGATGAAACTATATTATCCTGGTGTCTCATGATCTTGTCAAAAAAAATACAATAAAAAAAAATAAAAATTGTTATGCATAACATGAGTCACTTTTTAATACTCTAAGGAATATATAAGTTCCCTATGATAGCCAAACATCTAGCAAATATATAGATTTGTAAATATTGAAACAAGTAAACTGAATCAGGAATTCTATGATCTCTGGCTCAGAATCCTGCACCTTCCTGTAATCCGTCCTAGAATGCTTTGCTCTCAATAATAATAATAATAATAATAACCAAGACTATATGGGGTATGCAGGGCAAGATTGAGGCAAAATAGAACTTGTGTTGTTGTTCTGTGCACAATGCCTTTAAACAGTGATGCAAATTGTTTGCATCTCAAAATCTTCATAAATCTTTTTAACCAGAATGTAGATGTAAACATTAATACATGACTCGTGCTATGTGTGACAGTTAATTTATCAACTGTGTGTTCACAATGTATATTCTCACTGTCTTTAAAGGGACACTATAGGCACCCAGGCCACTTTATCTCATTAAAGTGGTCTTGGCGCAGTGTCGGGACAGTTTTAGAGAAACTGCAATGTTTATATTACAATGCTACCAGGTGCTTTGAATGATGATGTCAAACATCCTCTAAAACTCTATAACATGGGAAAGGCCTATATCTGGCCTGACAGATATAGCTTAGGACAACATAATCCACAACTGTTACTTAAAGGGACACTATAGGCATCAAAACAACATTCACTTAATGAAGCAATTTTGGTGTAAAAATCCCTGCAGTCTCACTGCATAAAGGTTCACTAGTTAAAGTCAGTGAAACAGTAGGTAGCCCACTCTAGCGATGATCTGGCACACAGCCCCTAGAGGCAATCCTAACACTGTAAAACTGCATTGTTTTACATTGCAGGGTTAAGGGGACAGGGAGACTGCACCAGATCACTTCAAAGAGATGAAGTGGTCTGGGTGCCTATAATGTCTAATGTCCCTTTAATTATCTGCTATTTAGGAGATAAATCACTTTGTTTATATAGCCTTAGTCACACCTCCCTGCATGTGACTTACACAGCCTTCTTAAAAACTTCCTGTAAAAAGAGATCTAATGTTTAAACTTCCTTTATTACACATTCTGTTTAATTTAGGATTTCTTATCTCCTGCTCTGCTAATAGTCTTCTAAACCCTACTGGAGTCTTTTTTGTGTAATTAAAGTTCAGGAGATGATAACTTGTAAAGCAAGTTAATATCGGATTGAAAATTAACCAGTTTTTCATGCAGGCTGTGTGAGTCACATCCAGGGGGAGGTATGTCTAGGGCTGCATAAACAGAAACAAATCTGATTTAACTCCTAAATGGCAGAGAATTGGGCATTGAGACTGCAGGGCACGATCTATACACTAAAACGGCTTAATTAAGCTAAAGTTGTTTTGACTACTATAGAGTTCCTTTAACCCCTTAACCACCAAACTTCTGGAATAAAAGGGAATCATGACATGCCACACGTGTCATGTGTCCTTAATGGGTTAAAGTTCTCACATTTTAACTTTTTTTTTTAACTTTTTTTTTTTTTAAGTTTACATTTCCACAGTAATGACATGGAGTAAATAGACCAAACAGAGTGTTTTTCAATGTTAGAGACAAAGGAAAGTTGTAAATTTTAAGTTGCTTGTTCTAAAAAGCGGAAAAAAATGTCAAGTACACTTAAATAGTATATGTAGATCTATTAAAAAAGAATAGGGAAAAGAAAACAAAAGAAACTTTATATAATGCATTAAAATAACCGTAATTTTGCAAATGTCCCAAGTTAAAGGACCACTCTAGGCACCCAGACCACTTCAGCTTAATGAAGTGGTCTGGGTGCCAGGTCCAGCTAGGCTTAACCCATTCTTTTATAAACATAGTAGTTTCAGAGAAACTGCTATGTTTATGAATGGGTTAAGTCTTCCCCCAATTCCTCTAGTGATAATGCTTTCCTATGTGACCGGCTGAATGCGCGCGCAACTCTTGCCGCGTGTGCGGATTCAGCCGCATGGGAGGAGAAGAGGAGGATCGGAGGAGGAGAGCTCCCCGCCCAGCGCTGGAAAAAGGTAAGTTTTTACCCCGTTCCCCCTTCCAGAGCCGGGCGGGAGGGGGACCCTGAGGGTGGGGGCACCCTCAGGACACTATAGTGCCAGGAAAACTAGTATGTTTTCCTGGCACTATAGTGGTCCTTTAACATTTTACTCTACAGTTTCTGCTTCATTGCTAAATATAAAAGTTACACGGAAAGGAATGGTGATCAGTCTGTGGTGGTCAGGCTAATTAGTTACAGTTTTAAATAATACCTTGGTCTATACATAGTGTGATGGCCAAAGGAATGCTGTGTTTAGATTATTATGTGTTGTTAAACAGAGCTGCTATGCGACTCACGGCCACAATAATGCTGTTAAAAAGGCAGAGCGGTCACAAGAACTCCTATAACAATAAGCGAAACTGCATTTCCAAGAATGAAAGGGACCTGGACTCCTCAGGTCCCTTAAATAAAAATAAAAAAAAATGCATAACGCACTACCAAGTCTTGTTGTGAATGCACCAACCAGGTACATTAGTGCCATGTCAGTGTGACAAAGTAAGATCCACAAGTCTATTCACTAAAGTGAGAAATTACCAGTAATTCAAAGTGAATTTTTACATTTAAGACCAAAGCAACCAAATAGGAAAAATTCTCCAAATCAGTTATGCTTCCAGTTTGACTTCTTTGGCCTGAAATGTTACATCCACTTTGAATTCCCAGCGATTCTTACTTATGGTAATAACTCTGAGTGATGCGTTACTTTATTCATACAGTCTACAGGCATTGCTGGGGTGAAAAGGTATTTATTATAATTGGATAAATTCTAATTATTTAGGGCCAAAATCATTAACGCACGAGTCGCTCTGCTAATTTGGTTCCAAGCAAATCCACTGCAATTTAAACAGTTATTTTGACAAGGGCCATCATCACATTTTGCCATATGTGCTTTATTTAATTCATCATTTTAAGTTTAGTTATTGTACACACATTGCAGAAAACATTGGCATTTTATAAATAAATGACAACAGCTGAGATTTCACATCAAAAATGGATTTGGCATTGCTTCTTTATTTCAAATGCAAGTTTTTTTTTTTTGTTTTTTTTTTTTAATTTAAAAGGGAAAAAAAAATCCTTTCCTGCTTTCAAGACTGAATGCAAAAAAAAAAACATGTTGGAAATATTACTGCAGACAGCGCTGTTGAAAAGGAATTTTAAAACATCTGTTCATACAGGGCTTCTCATGTGTGTTTCTAAAATAGAGGTGCTCTTGTACTCAAAGAATGTGTTTACAGACAGAGGTTTTCAGGGAATGTTTATCAAAGCTGACCTCATACTTCATCACAAAAGTTCCCTTTGAAAACCTTTTTTCAGGATGTGTTGAAATAATAAACTGCTCTTCTTCACTCAAAATGTAATTCTAGATCCTTATGCGTTGGAAATAAAAATAAATAGTATATTAAAAAAAAATAGGGGGGAGGACTAAACATTAAAAGTGATATTTACACCTTGGAAAAAAAGGGTGACATGGAGACGTGATCACCTTTAGATAGCGAGACATAAGTTATTAAGAGTGGGATAAGGAGTTAGAGGTTCTGCATCAAAACAGCTTCATTTATTGAAAAGCCAACACAGCCAGAGTTATAGTCTGCTATATGTGGCTCTGCAAAGTGTGAGTGACCCATTACCTCTGTTTATTATCAGTTCTGCATTACAAAACAGTATTATGCTTTGTGAACATCTCTGTTTTTCAGGGTGATCAGAGGTTTATCAAATGTACCATCAGGAATTTGCTGTTATAAGTATAATTCACTGTGTATTGGTAGTTATTGCGCACCCTGAATTTTGTATTTATTAAATTGAAATGCTTTAAATTGAAAAGTAAAATGAAACTGACTACTGCATTGAGTTGAAGTGGTCGGAGTGCCTTTCGTAGTCCTTTAATAATGGTCACTCCAAGCAATATGTATTTGACTCCTTGCCATCAGGTGAACACTGCCCCCATTCATGATCTTGTCAATGGGAATGTCCATACCATGGTATCTGGATGGGAGTTTTGGGAAGTTATTGCAAAATATGCCAGAATGAAATCTCCACCTTGATGATACCTCCATGTCTGGGAGGTGTAATTCGCTAGTATTGCTAAAAGAGTGTGATTTAACTCAATTTATATTGTGAAAAGCTGACGTAGCATTAAAGGGATGATACCAGAAGACTGAATAGAAAAACATTATTTATAGTGAACCTGTTATGAAAAAAAAAAATGAACTTACCTTAAATTGATCCCATGTATATTGAATACACCATATAACACAAAGATACATGGTGTATTCAATGTAAAATAGAAAGATTTGCTAATTTTTTACCTCTGTGCCTCCCCCGCTCGGCCTGCTCTCCCCCCACAGCCTAATTTGATTTGCCCTGCTTGGCACAATGTTGATGTTGGCACGCTGGCTTCATTGTCAGAGTGCTGACGTTGCAACATAGTGATGTCACTCCATTCCTAGACTCAACGAGGCATTGACTGCTAGCACAATGTATAGATAAAATATTATGCTCAATCTAATGAGCATAGGTTGTTTGGGGGATGATAGGTCCCCTTTAAATAAAGGACATTTTCATTATTTTATCTTCTCTAATCCAAAGCAGTTTACAAATTAAGCAAAAAGAACATAGGTAGGCTTACAGACAGAAGAATATATTATCAAACACACTGATACTAAAGGAGTAGGGGATCCGGCCGGCAAGCTCCAATCATTAAATAGTAGCTCAGTACAAATACATAAAAGGTTGAATTTGTGTTTGAACATACATCTAACACAAAAAAGAAGTAGTAATTACTCATACTTTCATTTGAACTTTTAATATTCTAAAGCACTACAGAGTATTATTTATATAGCGCCAACATATTCTGGAGCAGTGTACATTTGGGGAATACAGACAAACAATGATACAATTAATCCAAACAAATACAGACACAAAATGAACAGAGGACACTGCATGGAAACTATATGATTGAGTAATTTGCAGTGGTTTTATACAAAGTGCTTAGCTAGAGGACATGTGTGCTAACAACCTAAAGGTAATAGAATCGTAGATAAGACACAAAACAGGTTTGAAATTTTAAGTTGACAATGACAACAATGCTTTCTGAAAAAGATTTAAGAAGGCCCTCTGCCATTAGCCTCTGTTGAAGATCTATAAAGACATCAAGTAGTACAACTCCCATTATATAGTTAAATGCAAATTATACATATAAAAAAGGATAATATCGGGAGACTATTTTCTGCATGAACAGGCAGTTTCACCAAACAGTGGTAAAGCACAATGACGACATGGCGACGACATGGCTCTGTCTCGGTCAGAGGTAATATGATGGGAGCAGCAGTTGAGTTACAGCTGTGTTAAGACTATTAATAATTCAGCTTTGTTTGGTGAAGCATAGTGGGAATAGCAGTCCACTTAGCTGGCCCTGTTACCTGACCTTAATTCACCTGTCATCCAGTACAGAGATACTTAAAAGCCGCACATCGTGTTAACACGCAAGCCGTATGTGTTTATAATGCAGACATGTTTGCGCACAAGTGTGCTTTTGCTCGCAACAGTGGTTGTTATAGGCACAGAAAGAGATGCTGAATACTAAAAATACTGAAACTGAGCTATTTGTCTTAACCCTGTAAATGCCAGTGGTGTGCGCATTATACTACAAAACGCAGACTGTTAAACTGCGCAATTCCACCACTGCTGACTACCATTTTACTTTAGAGAAATAAACAGATGAGAAGAGCTTTTGCACATCATTTAACAGAGCAGCTATTCTTTTGAATGTTTTGAAGCCCTGGGACCAGGGAAAGATTTCCTAATAAAGCGTACAATATGCTTCAAAGCTCTGATTACTCCAGTGAAACAGACAATGCTTCCTCTTAAAACAACCAGAACCCCCATCACACATTTTGTTATCTCAGTTATACCCAGCTGGAATACACCATCCCCCAGTATTCAGCCACCTAGATAAATACCAAGACATGTTTTTCTTGGCCTCATTGTGTGACTTATATGCCATATATGGCCTCATGAGCTTCCCTCCCAACTGGATTACTAACATACGAACCACATGTTAAATTATTATTATTAGTATTTATCTTATTCCGCAGCGTTTTACATCGATATAAAGGGGGAAATTTAACAATAAATAAGACAATTACAAATGTTACAGGAATAGGTTGATGAGAACCATGTTCAAACGAGCTTACAATCCAGAGGAGGTAGGATACCAAAAAAACACAACAGGAAGGGCATCAATGGGAAAAACAACCATATTCCTATACAGAATCCAGACAACTTACATTCACCCACATGAATGGAGCAGGCCTAATGGTTCTCAATTTAACCTATCGATTAGACAATATCAACAAAGCCTATATGAATTATTTGTCTTCATCTCATGTGGAGGCACAGCTAGAACTTCAAGCAAATCCACCCATGAATACCAGAAAAGGAAGGTGGAAATAGGATAACAAATCAGCTGATGCATATTCAGGTTTTTTTTTTTTCCCTTAATTCAATTGCTTCCAGAATGTGTTAAAAAGTTTTATTTTTATTTTTCCCCCATCACGGAATGTCCCGATTTTATTAGTGTATAGTTTCCCATACAGTCTGTTTTCATTTATGAGTCACTGCAGGCTCACTTGGGAACTGCATTCTGAAGAGAGAAGGCAAAAAAAAAAAATCTTAGCTGCTTATCCAAGACGTCAGGTGGACGCATCCATTCATCTTGTCCTTTTTAGGACTACGTTTAAGCCAGCAGTCCTCATTCACCCCAGGATCACATTGTAAGAAACCAAGGAATGCTCTGTTGTGGCAAAATATAACCAGTATCCATGTCTACAAGAATATTGAAATCGAGAAGAAAAAAAAGGAAGGAACAAGAAAGTGTCTTGTGATATTGCAGTAATTGAAAACATAGTCCATGACGTGTCCCTTATAACCCAAGTTTGTACACATAGAGTTTTACACTTATTTTACCAAGATATAGCACAAAATAACAGTGTATGGGTTTATAGAAAAGAATTAAGTTTGAAGAGAAATTCATATAGATAATGCAATAATGGCATCCCACTAAGTCAGTATAATTAAGTTCTCTCTCCCAAGATAGATTCAATCCATACAATAAACAATATATCATAAACATTTCTATGACAATTTGTAGACGGAATCCAAGTTAAAGAGGAGGAAAATATCCTTTGAAGAGGTTGCACACTTGTATGACCATAATGTAACTTATTCTGTTAGAACTGATGGGAGAATGCACAGGATATTTTAGAAATACTTTATATATACTATTTTTTTGTCCTACGCATTTTGAAATGAGTAAAAAATATTAAGATGAGCAGCAATAACACTGAGACTCAGGACTGACTTGAAAATTAAAGTGAAGCTTAAACTTTCTGGCTATCCATGTGCTGCATGATAATCATCATTACTATTATTGCAACTAAAAATCTCAATAGTGTTTGCAATTTCCATATTTAAAAAGGAATGTCCAGTAAAAGGCACAGGTACATGCTGTAATGCCACACAGTGGCATAAAAAGGTGAAGCAAAGAACATCAGGTCATTGTGAACAGAACCTACAGGAATGAGGACTGGAACTCTGAAGAGAGCTTCAACACGGTCTATGCTTATTTGCATCTGACAAGGAATTCTGGGAGATTGTAGAACTGCGAAACTGCTATGTCAGGGACAATTTTTGTTTAAAATTCCCTTTATGATATATTGATGTTATACTCATCGGTGTAGGAATCAAAGAAAATCTGGGGTGGACAGTCCGTAGTAATCTCATCCGCAATTAGAGAGCATACAGATGTCTATGGGCAAAAAAAACATCCCCTACTCTCTCTGGTTACTGTAAAATATTTTACTAACACACACACCAATTTAGCCACTTCACCTTTATTTTACTTGACTTCTGACATACTGGTTTTAAGATTAGGACATTGAGGGGGTGGAGGGGGAGTAATGGCTTGTTTTTTGCCTGGAGACACAGACAACAGCAACACAAACAGGTGGTGAAGACAAAATGTTCAAAAGACGTTAAGCAAACACTGTGCATCTGTTATTTTTTGCAGGTAGAAAAACGTAAAGTAGGTTACTATGTACAGTTCGCTTACTAATAATCAGATTTATAACTTGTCAAAAAAGGTACTTTATCCCAAATAAACGTGTGTTTTCTGCACATTTGAGCATTAGTATAGTTCAAGGCATATCATCCCAGCATAAAAAATAAAATATATACAATTTTTTTAAAGTAAATAAACTTTGTTTATACTTTTCAGATTTAAACAGGTTATAGTAATATCTTGTGATATCTTCTTTATTAAACTAATGGAATTGTTTGTGACTACCCCCCTTTATTAAGTCTGCAGAAACTATTATAATCTTGCTGTTGTAATGTCTATTCCTAAATATCATTTTTTTTTTTATAAACCCATATACAATTCAGATTATTGTTGCCCTTATGAAATGATGAAATAAAAAACAATGATCCACTGTAGTCGTTTCTAATTAGATTTCAACCTTTTATTTACCATAACATAAAAACAAACATTTGCATCCCTCACTGGTATCACTACCACACTCCAAAAGTGGGAAAATACACAAACAAAAATGGTCAATGCTTGTGAAATGTTAGTGCTACAATGTGTATGCTACTTCAAAGTCAAGAATTTTAGCAAACTAAATATATCAAACTCAATGTCTTACACAGTACACCTCAATGTAGAATATGTCCCCATGGGGGGGGGGTCCTTAAGGTGTTGAAAATGCAATGGACCTCAGAAAACTTCCCAGCTTTTAACACTCTGCTGGTACTTTCTGTCAAAGGGGGGATGCAATGAATAAAGCTTGGCAGAAGAGCAGGAAGTGGGGGAGGGAGAGAAAACATTGAATATCATAAACACTGCTGAGGTGGGGGGCAATATTTTCTTTAAGCAATTAACAGGAAGAAGGGTAGAGGAAAAAAAAAAAAAACTTGCTGTCTCCTAAAATGGCCCCTGCCATATACTTCATAATACAGGGGATAGAAAATCCTTCACCACAGCAGTGCCCCCCTTTGCAATCTCTGCCACATTCCTTACTCAACGTCTGCCTGCTTAAAGGAAACAGGATGTGCTCTCAATCCATTCCATAACATTCAGATTCCCTTTCAGATTTAACTAGCTGAATGCCATGCAATTCTTACAAAAAAATAAAACAAACATTACATTTTATATATATATTTATTTATGTTATGATACATTACTGAAATAATCAATAATATATATTCAGTGTTGCTCTTTGGAAAAATGCCAGAACAACAGAAAACTAATACATTAACAAATACATATACTTTGTAACCAGAAAAAGGACCCGTGTATAACTACTGCTATAGCGCTCACACATTTAGAGCATTTAACCAAATGTCCGCTGCCCAAACAACACACTCTGCTGGCAAGCAACATAATGTCCCAAAATAAACTTTAAATGGTGATTGCGGCTCATTTCCCAGTCACTGTGGCTGCCTTCAATTGCAGCATGTCACCGTGTACTGGCCTTGGTTACAGACAAATAATCTACATTTAAACTCCAATTTCAATCAGATAAGGAGATCACTGCTAATTACATTTTAAATATACATTGTTCTAGAGAGTGAGCATTTAGCAAGCCCCCCTCCCCCCCAAAAAAAAATCTCAAGAAGCCTAATTATTGCTATTGTTTCCTGGATAGCAGTATTCATAAGATAACGATCAGAGTTACAAAGGCATTAGCTTTTTTTTGCAGTTATTCATCTGAAGCTTTTTCCAGCCAGACCCCCTCAGGAAATAAGTGAAGTGTCAGGATTTATTGTTTTTTTTTTACACAGCCACATTACTGTCCACACTGTCCCTTTAATTTATATCCTTAGAACAATAAACACATGTGCCCTAACACTGGTGCTAGGTCACCAATGGTGAATGCATGGTTTATATGTGCCCACCACTATAACATTTCTATATGATCACTCTAGATAGCATTAAAAAAAGCTTATTCAATGCATCCGCATGCACCCTTTTAAGGGAATTATATTTGGGATAAATAAAATACTTCCCCCCCCCCCACTTTCTAAATCAGGACCATTAACCCCCCCTCCACCCCAAAAAAATAATTTTAAATAATATTATTAATTTTATTATTATTATATTTTTGATATCTGAATATCCTGCCCAGTAAAGAATGTCTTATAAGGTAACGTGTACTGGAGTACAAACTGTCCAATCTTAATACCCTCACCACCAGCGACCTATTATGTAAAATCCACATTACAGGACTGCTTCCCATACACAGTCACCCTGCTTGCTGTATTTATTAAAAGAGTTAATTAAAGGAGCCGTATGTTAGTCCAGCTCTAGGTAAATAACGCTGTGTGTATCAACACACTCACCGTTTCCCCGGACACCAAGGCGAACAAGCCACAGGTAAGGAGTATCAAAACGTTCCTCATTATTCCCCTAAAAACAGGCTTTCTTGGGGGTTCACAAATAAGACAGGGGAAAAGTTGCAATGGGGGCCAAACGATCCCAGGTCTCCTTGCTCGGGTCCCTCACTTGTTGCTGGAAGAATTCCCACCGGATAAAAAAGCAGTCTCTGCGTTCCCTCTGTAGAACACTTGTTTATCTCCTTCCAGCAGAGTGAAACAAAGTATCTCTGTGATCAGGGCTGCGAGGGGGGTGATTGGAATGTCCAGACCTGCTTTTCCCTACACGTGTTCCTGGTCACACAGGAGAGATGTTCCTTCCCCACTGTCCCTGTGTGTAATGTATGGCTGACTGTGCCAGCAAGGCTGCTATAGCTTGTGCGGTGTGATCACCCCTTCAGGCTGACTGTGAAAACACGTCTGTTCCTCCCTCAGTCTCCTGAACAATGCGTACAGATGGACTAGTGCGACTCCTAGTTAGAACCCCTGAGAAAGTACAGCAATGTAGATTGGCAGCTCAGTTGATCAGTGCAGGAAGTGGGATTCCTTAGCCTCCAGTGACCTCCCTCTCCCCCCCCCTCCTTTAAAATAAAGAGTTAGAATAACAAGGGAGCTGTGATTCACAAATTGTTGAGCTGTTTTTTTTTTATTATTACAATTATTTTCTACTTGATGTATCAGTATTCCTTGTGTTTTTTCACACAGGATGGCAGGGTGCAATCACAGTTTATAAAAAAAAAAAATTTAATATAAAAATATATATTTTGTGTAAAGATATATTATTTGATTCTAGTGAATTAAAAAACTACTTGGAAAAAAAGTGTGGATTTGGAAACATTCTCCCAACTCCATTATAGTCACAGTGTGAATACTTTAGCCTATATTTTGCAATTCGGTTTTCAATACACCTAATTTGGTGTTTATTGAATAAAGTACATAGATCACAGTATCTTGTAATGCCTTTTTACTGGAATAATAACATTTTTTTACATTCTTTATTTAAGAATTTTTACATTTGATGAGAGGTAAAAAAATAAATCTCCACGCGTGAAGAAAATCACATGATAGAGGTTGGACCCCATAGTGAATATACAAAGTAGAAAACTATAACAATACCCACCTAAAAAAATAGCCATGAAGAGCATGCCCACAAAGGAGCACAATGTAAAAGCCAAGAAATGAGTTGAACAAACAAAGAAAGAGGAAAATAGAAATAATAATAAAAAAAAAATTTAATCGGTGGAGCAGTGGGACCACTAGGGGTCAAAGAGGGTACCCAAAATGCACTGACAGGCCCTGACATAAAAGGTCAAGCCCATATCTCGGTGCTTATCTGTGTATTAATGCCAAGGGCCCCACATCCTGGCATGCTGTGTGTCCCTTTTATACAACAAAGGCCTCTTAGCTTGCATCGATGATATATCTTCAACGCTGTCCATCCACTGCTGAAGGGAAGACACCTCCTCTGGTTTCTAGAAGACAGGGTTAAAACCTTGGCCACATTTAAGATGGTGAACTAGAGATTTTTTTATTTGACATAAGTGGAAAAGAGGAACATCTCTGGCTTAAATGGGGGCAACACTTTCAAAATCACCACCATCACCAAATGGATAGCCTGCCAATAAAGGGTAAGTATTGGACAAGACCACCATACATGCAGATTCTATCCCACTCTAACCCCACCAACACACTGCAGAACTATTTAGTAAAACATCCTATGTAGAATGTTTTGCATTTTGTACCAATGATTGTGTACCTTTACAGTTTGCTTCTTGATAACAAGAGCAGATTGAGCTCTAGTATGAAAGAAGCAACATCTTATCCCTCAAGGACTCTGCAATGGGTTCCCCTAATTCATGCTTCCATCTAATTTTACATGGCAGAGTATTCAGGGACAACTGTAACTGTCATGCTCTGAGCGCTGTCCGGGTGCCATCATAGTCTTCATGGTGCTCGACATCCTCCCTGCATGGTTCTCGTTGTGCACAATGATATTACACATCATTCTATCATCGATAATGATACGGAATGCTGTATTACTTATTCCTATATGCACACCACAACTTGCCTCATATGTGGATGCACAACCAATCTACATAACCCCTAAGGCTCTGGTCACATACATTTTGGCAATAAAGTGCCACGTGGGCCTATTTATAGCCCTTTTGATCTCAGTTCCCCACCCAGTCATGGTTACAGAGTGCGTTCTTCTTTTAGTGTGTTTTTCTGATATTGACTTGGCTCTATGTATTTCGATTACGCCGATTTCTGGAATCCTTGGCCTTGGCTCTATTTTACTCTTTTATCCGATATTCTCCAAACCTTGACATTGGCCTGTATCTTTATTTTCTTGGCTCCCTGTAGACTATATTCTATACATTTATACTTTAAGCCTGGCCTGTCTAAGGTCTGACAACATATTCTATCTCAGAACAGGGTACTAGTTGTTTCATTGTTTGCGTGTTGAGGAATTTGTCTTTGACAATATCATAGAGTACAAAATAGACACCCCTATATAATGCCTCAAATGATGTCAAGGATTGTAAAAAAAGAGAAACATGACCCAAGGCATGCACAAACCTTTTAAGTTGAGCACAAAGAAACTGAACCAACCCCAAAGGAGCGCCCTCTGTCAGCTGCATCATTGAGACCCTTCGAATTGCATACCTGACTAACTCAAACATAGACACATGCAACAGATACATAACAATAAAGCATTTATTGGGAGAAAATAATGGCATCTAAAGTGTGTGCATGTGTCTACCTATGTGCAAGGAGGCTGGTACAGAGGTTGTACTATAACCTTTGTAGAGTTAATCGCTAAAGTGACATTTCAATGTGAATTTTTAAATTCATGGCTAGAGTTGCTGAACTTAAAGTATACCCGACTTAGAGGATATTTCCGTTTCAGCTATTTTAACCTTGAAATTCACTTTGAATTCTCACCTTATTAAATAACCCCGTTAATCTTTATTATTCTATAGGTCTCATGTCCAAACATCCCTCAAGATCCATTTCAAACAAACTGCGATCTCGAGATATAAGGATGATTCCATGCTCTGATCTATACAGACATAAGTATTCTGGGATTTATTCATTAAATCAGGGAGGAAATAGACAACAAAAATAGGAAAAATAGTATCAAAGGAAAAATTCTCCAATTCAGCTATTTTTCAAATAAGCCATTTTGATGTAAGATTTCCAAATCCCGGAGGCCGGGCTGGGATGCCGAAGCATTTAAAATTTTGCCGGATCTGCTTGGGAGAACACTCCGGCATTAATTAGATTCCCATGTCTGCCTGTTTGCTGCCGGAATGAAGAGATGCCAGTGGTTTGGGCCTAGGCCAAGTTCCAGACTGAGCTCACTGGAGTCCTGCATTCCACAAGTGATACCTACCCTCTGCCAAGGAAATATAGAAACATAGAATGTGACGGCAGATAAGAACCATTCGGCCCATCTAGTCTGCCCAATTTTCTAAATACTTTCATTAGGCCCTGGCCTTATCTTTGCCCCTCTAATTTAAGACTATGTCCTCTTGTTGTGGTAGTTTTTCTTCTTTTAAATATAGTCTCCTCCTTTACTGTGTTGATTCCCTTTATATATTTAAATGTTTCTATCATATCCCCCCTGTCTCGTCTTTCCTCCAAGCTATACATGTTAAGATCCTTTAACCTTTCCTGGTAAGTTTTATCCCGCAATCCATGAACCAGTTTAGTAGCCCTTCTCTGAACCCTCTCTAAGGTATCAATATCCTTCTGAAGATACGGTCTCCAGTACTGAGTACAATACTCCAAGTGAGGTCTCACCAGTGTTCTGTACAATGGCATGAGCACTTCCCTCTTTCTACTGCTAATACCTCTCAATGTGCAACCAAGCATTCTGCTAGCATTTCCTGCTGCTCTATTACATTGTCTGCCTACCTTTAAGTCATCAGAAATAATCACCCCTAAGGAGGCTGTGTCTAAGTGGAGGGAAGAAGCTGCAACTAACAAGTCACGGCCCTGATTGCCCCTGATCTGTGGAGGTTATCCCGGCCTTCTGCTTTCAGTTCACGTTAAAGTTGGACTCTCTCAGTTTATATTTCTGGTTGACCATCTGTCCATAAGTGGCTGCCTACAAATATATCCGCCTGCAAAATGATACAGAAATACAAGCATCTTTTCTCCTGAGGATGTTAAGTCACTGTCTTGGAAGCTTCCTTCTCTGACCTCCTGCTTATTTGGAACCAGCCTGACACCTTAAGCAGTGGTATCTGCACACACAAGGGATGAGGCCTTGCATACTACAATGTAATGCCCTTGAGGGCTGCTGTTCCAATGTTGCAGTGCCGGGACTGGGCCTGGCCATGTGCGAGGTACTCATGTCTCTGGGTTTTCAGGGGGACAGAGAGAAAATTGCCCCGTCACCATGAGCACCGAGGGACTGGGCCGAGGAGGCTTCCGGCAGACCGGTAGCTGAGAGGCTAAGCAACATCTCCCCTGACGGAAGACGGAATAGACTTGTGGCGGTGCCAATGCTGCCCTATTTAGGTTCTGATGGCACGGTGGAGTTACAGAGACCGGCTGTTCTAAAGACTCTGGGGGAGGGGCCTTTTGGACTGGGCCTGTAGTGGAACCTCTGGTGTTAGGCTTGGCCCGGTCAAAGGGGGCACCCATTCTGAATCCATCAAGAATCCTGTAGCTAGTGTGTGTACATCTATTGCATTTTAACTGTTTTGGAGGGGAAATCAAGGTCACGTGTGCTTTATACAAGGTCCTTGGAGTGCTGGGATAAATTTCCACTGATGCCCATATTAGGGACTTCACATATTCTCTCTCTGGCAGCGTTTGTGTGGGGTTCTGGAAAGTTACAATTCGTTTTGTTTTTTTCTCATTAAAACTTAAAAAAAAAATTCTCGTAAATGACTGCTTATGCATCCAAATTCGCTCTTACAGAGCTAGCTTATGCAGGTGTGCATCTGTTTCCCATGCGAGAGAGGAATCTATACTATGGCATTGACCCTTGCTGTTTTGCCACCATGTTTTACGTCCACACACTCCTGCACATCTGATGCTGTAACTATACATTCTACACCCCCCTAGTATCTCCCTTTAGCATTATATATATATTCGTGGGTTTTTTTTTCTATTCATGAAGGGAACTTGTCTAAGTTAAGTGGCAAAGTTTCACTACAATGTTTTGTGCAATATTAATATGCTAAATTCGCACATTCCTGCACATATCATGCTGCAATTCCATGTACCTTATCACTTACTGAAATCTCTCCATATACATGCTGTAAAGTCATATATCCAATTGTTCTTTGTTATTTTCCTGTATTTATTAGCTTACTGCAAAATGTCTTTATTATACGGCAAAGTTTCAATACTAATATGGGCCACACGGGGGGAATTTACATAATTGTGGAGAGGTTACATAGTAGAGAAGAGGTTAGCATGAATATGGAGGAGAGAGTGATATAGTAAGGGAAAGAAGGAGACTGATATATGGTAGGAAGGAGGAATGATATATGGTATGGAGGAGAGAAATTTACATAGTGGGAAGGAGGAGTGGCTTATAGTAGGAAGGAAGAAGAAAGTGACTTATACTGTAGAGGAGTGACATACTGCAACTGGAGAGTGGGTGACATAGTAGGAAAGGAGGAGAGTGACATAGTAGGAAGAAGGAGGTGTGACATAGTGTGAAGGTAGGTGACATGGTGTGAAAAGAGAATTTGTATGGCGTGGAGGAGGGAGGTGACATGGGTAATGGAGGAGGAGTGACATGGTGTAGGGGCAACATAGTGTGGAGGAGGAAGTGACATGTAGTGTGGAGGGGGTTGATATGCTGTGGAGGAGGGAGTGACATGGTGGGAAGGACTGGGAATTTGACATATGAGTAGGAAGGAGGGGGTGACATGTTAGCCAGAAGAGAGAGGATGACATGGTGTGTGAAGGAGGGAGTGACATGTGGTGAAAGGTGGGTGACATTGTGTAAAGGGAGGTGGTGCATGGTGTGTGAGAGGGGGTGACATGGCTGGAGGAGGGTGGACGCATGGCATGGAGGTGACATGGTGTAAGGAAGGGAGTGACATGGTGTGGAGGAGGGGGGTGATATGGCGTGGAGGGGGTGACATGGTGTGAAGGAAGGGGGTGACATGGTGTCGAGGAAGGGGGTGTCATGGTGGGAAGGAGTGGGGGTAACATGGTGGGAAGGAGGGGGATGACATGGTGTGGAGTGGGGGGTGACATGGTGGGAAGAAGGTGGGGTGATATGGTGGGAAGGAGGGGGTGATATGGTGGGAAGGAGGGGGTGACATGGTGGGAAGGGTGGGTGACATGGTGTGGAGGAGGGTGGGTGACATGGTGTGGAGGAAGGGGAGTAACATGGTGTGAAGGAAGGGGTTGACATGGTGTTGAGGAAAGGGGTGATGTGGTGTGGTGGAGGGGGGTGACATAGTGTGGAGGAGGGGGTTGACATGGTGTGAAGGAAGGGGGTGACATGGTGTTGAGGAAGGAGGTGAATTGGTGTGGAGGTAGGCTTTAGGCGGCTGTCTAAATCGCCTAATTAGAGAGCCACCACTGATGTGCCATAATAAACATTGAATACATTTTGCCGTTATCCTACATTCCTATTTTTGTAAATAAACTAATAAGTTCTCAGTTCATCACAACCTACTGCTTTATGAAGAAATATTTTGGAATTTATTGCTGTTTAGATGAGTATAACATTCTGCTGGGAAATTAGTGGAAAGGTGAAACTAGTGTTTGAAGTTTAGTTTAATCAATCAGATGAAATAATTTGACTTAACTGTAGATCTGGGGCAAAAACATACATAAACAAATGTACTGCAATGGTGGATTCTTGAGTGGTTAACCCACGCTGGTAATATAATATCTGCACATCAGAGATGACAACAGTATCTGGTGTATCCATTATCATAGAGAGAGTAGAAAACAAACTCATAAATCTCTAGACTGCCAGCAGGGATCCTGGCTACTTCCTCCTGGGGGTCTTAGTTTATACATATAGGAATGGTTTACGTAAACATTGTGAACAATCTGAATGGTGGAACTGCATGTTCCATGATGCTTAGCAGTTCTTAAAGACATGAGTAATCCAGGTGACTGAGGGTTGCACGAGTTAACACAACTACAGAGTTTTGTGTTGGCTACAGATTAACAACATTTGGCTCATCCAGGACAAATGAATAGGATTTGCCCACAAGTCTTCTCTTCACCTCTTGTATCCAACAACATTATTTTATCTGTTAGTTATATGCTACTATTCATTCACAAGTATAATTGAAAAGCACGGAATGATATGTTGATACTTTAAAAATGGCAATAATAGTAATATGCAGGTAGGTAATGGAGGGTCTTCAAAAAATAGTTTCTCTTTAATAACTTTTTCTAGTATTGTAGAATAAATAAATCTGATACAATTTTATGCCTCAGCTGTGCTTTTGCAGCTAGCTTGGCATTGCTTTGGCAATTGTCTTGCCCTCGAACTGTTGTACCCTGTGTGCTAATAGAATTATTAAAAATATCCAGTTAGTTATTGGAAATCAATGCAAGCTGAAAAATGCCACCCCTTGGGGTAAGGGAGTGCCAAATAGGTATGAGTGGCAGGATTTAGCCTCTCTCTCTAATCTGAAACATTGCCATCTTGAAAAGGCAAAACCTTAAAGGGACACTCCGAA